TCGTTGATGAGAGTGCGAACGACCACCAAGTTACCGTACCAAGGGAAAGGAGAGCGCGGAAGCAAGGCAGCGATGGATTGGTTGACAGGCTGCTCATTGTCGGGATTTATGAGCGGGTCGGGTGGCTGGTTGAGACAGAACACCGCATAAGCGTAGTCGAGTGGATCGGGGTCATCCATGGGCCAGTTTCTAACGATAGCCAGAGAAGACGGCACGTCAACCACAAAAGTGTGGCGCTCGTAAGTGGGTGGGATCTACCACATCGCGTCCAAATCGCGGGGCCCTGAAGGTTTCCCAACGCCTGGCTTTGTGGGTACATGTACCAATAGTGGACGCGCGAGACCCGTGGGGAATAACAAGCCCACGACAGTGCCAGAGTCAGGTCCTTTCTGTCGACCCAGGGGTTCGTTGAGTCAACTATCCCTAAAGAACTGAACGACATACCGGCGCTAAACGCTGAATGGTGTGCTGTCGTTCCGAGATAACTGCTCTGGTGAAGAGCGGTACTGAGCTGTGAGGTTCTGTATCCATGGCTGGGTGCTTATGCTTAGCACGGTACCTTTATAGCCGTTGGCCGTCCCCCCAAGAAGGTGATCAGTTGTGGTCTCCAAGCCAATGGAATGGGGTTCCGATTAAGCAAAGCAAGCGGTGTGACAAGGAAAATTGCTGTCACAGCGATTATCATCCTTGTTTGGAATTTCCATGTTCAGGCATCTTGGCTTATACTGTCATTCAAAGGAAGCACACGACCTATAACTGTTATCCGACACAAGCTATTCACTAGAATCCAACTCGTCTACTTCTTCACTGGTTGCGCTACCCGACGAACTGGACTGTAACTCGGGCGTCTCGTCCGTGCTGAAGCTTCCCCATGGGCTGGTGGTCAGCAAATCATCGTCGTCAGAACCCGTATGGCCTAACTGGCGCGCTTCAGGATATGCAAACGAAGTACTGACACCACTTACGGGATTGATATCAGCAGGCCTAGGCTTCACCAACTTGATTGTTTTCGCCTGCACTTTGTATGTCTGCTCCGACAATGAATTTTAGTAGCGATGTTCCGTAAGCTGACCTACCATTTGAACCTCCAGACCCCCGGGGACCTGCTGACTTTCCCTTCTGCAGCGCAGCTCACAAACAAGTGCCACGGTGTCGCCGGACGTCAAAGGGAACTTCGCGGGTAAGTTTTTGAAGCCATACACCTCGTAAGTCCAGTCATTGACAGGTACTAAAACTTCCGGGAATCCCTCCGACGCGTCCATGTGGATGACAACCTTGTCTTGAGAGCACCAACTTCGGCTGCGAACCTGCAAAGGACGTTGAGCGGCACACAAATGGTAGCGGGCTTGGTTGCGCGTTACTCACAGCGGAGATAAGGCTCAACGAACTGCGGTCAGTCGATACCACTTGACGAAGGTTGTGCATTTGGGCGTCCCACGGTTCTTGGAAGACGAGTCCGCCCCACCCTTGTGCTGTCCAGTCAGGCAGCTTCAGGGTGAAGCAGACACCATCTTCACGCTTGATAAAGCTGGGAAAGTTGACGAGTTCCCCAAAGAGGACGCAACGATACACGTCTTCGGGTGCTACGCTGTCGCGGGAGGTGGTAAATGCGTCACTACTGCCGCTGTGGACAGTGGGAGGGTGGAAATCAACGTGGTAGCGCGCATTCCCCATGAATTTGTGACCATGACCATTGAGGGTAGAGATAAGGTGAATAGGCTTCAAAGTGCAGTCAGGCGTTAGCAGCTGACCATCGCGCTGGTTGCTACGTCGAGACGCAGCATCCATAACATTGGCGAGAAGGAGTGCAGGCTCCGTGGCGTGCAACATTATGGTCGCTAACGAAGTCATTGTAGAAAGTCGGCAATAATTGGGGAGCATTTATAGTGAGTTCATGTCGAGCTCGACAACAAAGATTCTGTCCCCATCTCAGCTCTCCGAACAGCGTCGGAATCCTGTATGGAGCAAGCGATGAAGACTCATACTCTACCATCAGCCTTCCAACTTCTTGCTGAGTTTTGCCAGGTTCCTCGACGCGCGAAGGCGTCGTGGAAGTCACTTCTGGAGTATCTAGGCACCCTAGAAACTTCGCTGCAACAAGACATTATAGCAGCGGCGGAGAGCAGACCCGGCAGCAAAAGGAAGCGATTACCCGCAGCAATTCCAGCAACGCGGCCAACGAAGCGTGCCAAGAATGAAGCGGTGGGAGGGACTGCGATCAGCGACGTTGTATCTACACCCTCCGTTGACTTCCTCCGCGTACCATCGGAAGCGATTGTGCAAGGTTGTATTGCAAGGTAAGGGTAAAACCACAGACCCGCTGTTATTCACAAACCCGGATTTAGTTTCATTGATAGAACAGGCAATGCTGCGCTCACTAAGAGCACATGCATCGTGTGCGCCAGACGCATGTTCGCGACCGACTTTCAGAAGCTCAGGATGGAACGCATCCCCAACAAACACTTATTGTCACCGACGCATCCACACCCAGACCAAGTGCTAATCGAGGGGGCTTTGTTCCACTCCACTGTAACGAAGGACGGAGTCAACGACGTCTGCAATTCTTGTCTCCACTCGTTAGCGAGATGTGAGCGCCCGCGGTTGTCATTATCGAACAACCTTTGGCTCGGCGACGTTCCTTTCCAGCTCCAGATACTGACTTTACCGGAACAACTACTCGTATCGTTATATTTTCCAACTGCCTACATTTTCAAGATATACCCTCAGAACATCAAACAACCAAGTTCCGTGAACGTCCAGATACCTATGCCGGCCACACATGAGAAACTAAGGGGCAACGTATCCACATTTCGCTTACCCACCTCCCAAATCGCGGACATGGTGGCGGGGAACTTAGTCCCTCGGCCCTCACTCTTGCTGGCAGCAGTTATCGGGGTGACGTTCGTCGGACTTGGCCAAAAATCCGTGTCGTGTATGCCTGGTTTATTTAGGGTAAGAAGAGGGCGCGTACGGGATGCACTCCAGTGGTTGAAAGCCAACAATCCCCTCTATGAGAAGGTCACGATCTCACCGGAAAGACTTCAGAGCCTCCCCGAAGACGGAGTACCTCCAGAGATAATGAACACCGTTCGCTTCTCGGACGATATAGACGCGGTAGGAAGGGAACACGCTGGTTATGTGCCTCCAGACCACGGAGAAGAGGAGGAGAATGATCATGAGAGCCAATTGGAAGACGACGACGAACAGAGAGGTGAACCAGATGAGCAAACCGAGCCAGGCGAAACCGATCATGAAGCTAATGAAGAAATGCATTACGTGGAAAAACAAGTCCATCCCGCTACAACACAAGCACTAGAAGGTACGAAACTGCGCACGAGAAGAACCATTCCATTGACACATAATACTTCCGCCCGCAGATTTGTTGGACCCATACGATGAAGAAGGGGAGCTCGATAATCATCCGACGACTAATGACGGAGAGGACTCTGGTACGCAACTGACCCCGGATATGGGTCTTCTGCTATTGTGGAGTTTTTTCCCAATCGCCCAGTGGGCAACTCTTGAATCAATGGCAGAAGGCCCGCTCCGACAGCTACCCCCTACAACATTAATTAAGTTTGTTTAGATCCGGACGTGTTTCCTCTCCAGGCTCACGGGGTGTCAGGACGTTGGTGGGGACAATATTCCAGACGCCACGCTCTTCGCACACGCGGTGGAAAACTTGATACCGAGTGGCTTCTCTGCTGACTATGGGATACGCAAAGGAAACGCCTTCGTCAATGAATTCGCCCGTCGTGATGAAAACAAAGAGCGATTTGACAGGGGCCCATCGAACCCTAACCACTTACTGGGGGCATACCCAGCACTTTTTCCTTATGGATTAGGAGGATTTGAAGTGGACAGAGCATTACACGTGTCATACGAGGAACAGGTCAAGTGGGCGTTGCAGCATGAATCTGGCCGTTTCCGGCGCCACACATCCTTTGTTTTCCAAGTATTCGGGGTACTGTGGAAGCGCCAAGTTTGTCGCTCGGCCTCCCTGCAGGTAGACCACAACAAATTCATGGCTCACTACGAAGATTTCATGCGCTTGAAGCCCAGTGACCTGCTGGCAGCCAGTGAGGAGGAGAACCAGAAGGCTACCATCTCCAATCCCACCGTGCGACTGCTACGGAAACATATCACGACTGTCCGAGCCAAAGTGATGGGTACGGATGAAAACCGCGTAGCGATCAGAGCTCAAATATGGGGCATGAACTTAAAGTTCAACCCGCCAACGTTGTGGACCACCATTAACTTATCCGATAGCAACGATCCGATCGCACAAGTGCTAGCTGGGCGTGAAATCAACTTGGACAACTTTGTGGCTAAGGTGGGCCCCAACGCTACGGAAAGGGCTCATACTATCAGCTCCGACCCCTATGCAGCTGCGGAATATTTTCACATTGTCGTTGGGCTTTTGTTAACGGAGCTGGTGGGACTGAAATCGGGGGGGAGGGGCGCTATCACCAGAAAGGAAGGAATTTTCGGGTTTGTCAACGCATATATTGGTACCGTGGAAGCGCAGGCACGAGGATCACTGCACTTGCACATTTTGTTCTGGCTGAACGGAGCGCCTACCGCCGCCGAAATGCAAAACGCACTTCAGAGCGAAGAATTCCGCGCCAAAGTCCGAAACTTCATCCATCACAACATTCGGGCCGACATTCCTTCAGAAGACAGCGTGAAACCAAAAAAAGAAACAACGGGGCCTACAGTCGAGCATTGCCTATTCAAGACCGGAAGATCCTCGATTACCGAATTACGAAGAACGCCGCCAACAGACTGAGGCTCGTAACGCAGCTGTCCTGCAAGCCCACACTTGTACAACCTACTACTGCCTGAAAAACAAGAATGGGAAACTAGTCTGTAAGCGCGGACATCCCTGGCCTACGTACGCCGAGGACTGGGTGGACACTCAAGGCAATTGGGGGCCTAAGAGACGGTTTTCCTTTCTGAATCCTTGGAACCCACCCTTATTTGCTACGACACGGTCAAACATGGACATCAAACTCATGACAAACTCTTGGGAAACGAAAGATATAGCATTCTATATCACTCTCTACATCGCCAAGAAGCAAGTCCAGGCAGCTAACGCCTCCGCCATCCTCGCCACTAGCAAAGTGTTTTCCGCGAAAGAGCATGTGGTGTCAGCAGAGAACTCTATTGAGAAAGTCAACAAAAAATTACTGCAGCAATGTGCGAACACACTAAGTCGTCAGTACGAATTGAGCGGTCCCGAGGTAATCAGCTACCTGATGGGGTGGGGGGACCGCTACATTTCGCACACATTTGTCAAAATTTATTGGGATATTGTCACCGCGACGTTGTGCCGCGCCTATCCAACCCTTTCAAACAAGTGTGTTGACCACTATGGATGAGAGTGAAGCTAATTTAAATACAGGACTGGACGGGAAACAGATTCACGTGGTGCTTACGCGAAGACGGACTCACGTGCTTCTTATGTAAGACAGACCAACACGCGCATTGCACAACTTGATGTTAAACAGCTAGGTCGCCTGAGGGTGAACAACGGTCAAATCTGCTTACAAGATCAACTAGGTCAATATGCAGATAGAGGTGAAGGGCTTCTTGGAATGAACGTCTACGAATTCTTCACCAGAACATACCACGACAGTCGTACGGTGGTCACTTATCAAGCAGAGCCAGAGCCCGGTGAATCCAAACGTCCAGGCAGACCCCCAAGTGAACGCTTTCCATACCTACCTCAATCAGAGAGAAAAGGAGCAAGAATGGTCCGTGGCGCAAAACAGGAAACTGCATTGCACATCGTTGGACGGTGGCTCCCTAACAGAGACGACGCTAACCAGGAATACTACTCAGCACAGATTCTTCTGCTGTTGAAGCCGTGGCGCGTTCTCGCAGACCTGATGGGTGTGCATGAGAGCTTCCTGAATGCTCGCTTGGCCTTTGAAAGCGAATGCAATGCTGAAATTCATCGGATAATCGCCAACCTTCAATATTACCACGAGTGCTCATCCAGCGCTAATCGCCGACGGCCCCAGTCCAATAATGAAACGGAGGAGAACGATGATGATGAATACGGAACGCACACTTCGCAGGACGTACAATCGGTTACAAGAAACTACACAGAAGAGGATGTGGAAAGAGCCCGCGCCAACAAGTACGCCGCAGCGGAACAACTGTACGGAAAACGAGCTATGGAAGCGGCCTACTCGTCCGGGTATCTTCGTCAAATCAAATCGATCAGTAGCTGAACTCCCCTTGCTGAAACCAGTTTCCAACGACGAAATGACCTGCTACCAGGAGTGGGAAGCGAAAATTAACTCAATAAGACGCATTGAGGGGATTCAAGAGCCGACGCCCACGCGGAACACTTCAGAGACCGGGCACTCGGAGCGTGTACTAACCGAGTTCGACGAAGACTCCGAAAGTTTCTTGGGACCCCCCATCACGTTGGACAACGACACAAATAGAAGATGGCGCTCCGAAGAACAACAACGCCGACTGGATATGCTTAACGAGGAACAGCGTCGAGCACACAATATCATCGAAAGCCACCTCTTGAAACATATACAAGGAGAAGAACCTCCACAACTTCTGATGATTGTGCAGGGCGAGGGCGGCCGAGGAAAAACCGTGCTGTTGAGGGCAATTACGGACACGTTCGAGCTGCACCGATCACGGCAGAAGCTTGCGAAAACGGGTACCACAGGGATTTCGGCCAGTCTCGTAGCGGGGGTGACGCTTCATCAATGGGCCGGTATACCAGTAGTGTTTTCCGAGAAGGAGGAATGGATAAAGAGTGCGTTTCCCACCTTGAGATCTAATCATGCTGATAAGCGCCATAGAGAGCAGTGCCAATATTCAAGAGCGGAGAAGAATGAATATCCTACCCGCCAAATATCTCGTAATTGACGAGTACTCCATGCTCACGAAAAAGACGCTCGCTCAGTTATCCCACATCCTAGGATATGTCAAGGCGACTATCGGCGAAGCGCCACCGTCCCAGCCTTTTGGCAATATCAACATCATCCTCGTAGGAGACCCACATCAGTTTCCCCCCGTAGGCAATCCTACAGGGGCCCTGTACAACGACCGATGTGATCACTCTCTGCTTTCGCAGCTCGGTCTGGCATTCTACCGCCAGTTCACCACGGTTGTGACACTGACTGAACAAAACCGAGTCACTGATGCAGGTTGGAGCGCGCTTCTACGGCGTCTGCGACATGGCGACTGCACGGTGGAAGACATGGCACTGTTAAAATCGTTGACAGTATCACAAAACCTCCACATGCGATGGGACCAACATCCGTGGAAGGATGCGGTGCTTGTTACACCTCGTCATGCGGCGCGAACTTTGTGGAACTCTGCTGCACTTGAACGTCACCGGGCAACAACGGGGTACAGTATCTATATATCTAAAGCAGAGGACTCTACATCTCGCCCGCCTCGGCAGTTGACGTTAGAGGAACGCGTCCTGGTGGCTGGATTCAACGATCAAAAACCTGGAAAACTAGCGGAGTTTGTGGACATTGCCATAGGGATGAAGGCAATGGTTCTGTGGAACATCGCAACTGAGGCCGACCTCGCAAACGGTACTCGCGGAACCATAGTTGATATTAAGCTGGACCCCAGAGAACCGACGCCTCTCCAACGAGAAAAGGACGGCAGAATACGATTGCAATACCCCCCTTGCGCTTTACACATCAAGCTCGACCAATTTTCTTTTCCCCAATTCGAAAGCCTGCCACCAGGAGTTCTCCCTATCTCTCCGACCTCCTCATCATTCTACATCACGAAGCCTAATAAGGATAAATTGACCATTCGCAGACGTCAATTTGCTATCACCCCCGGTTACGCCTTCACAGACTACAAGTCACAGGGCCAAACGATAGCGTACGTTGTAGTGGACTTGGAACAGCCACCACATGGTCGATTGACACCCTTCAACGCTTATGTCGCGTTATCCCGTAGCCACGGTCGAGAGAACATCAGACTCTTACGAAGCCTCGATCCAACCTTATTCACTACGCATCCATCCGACAGTTTACGCGAGGAAGATCGACGACTGGCAGCTCTCACCGCTGTCACGCGTGCACTGCATCCACTGATTCTACACTAAAATCCGAGCTGCGGACCCAACAAGGCGGAAAAAAATCCCACCCTCTCCGTACAGGACCGGATGTAATAACAGAACACAGAATTCTACCATATTTAACCCTTACCGTCGTGTTGCGAGGTGCAGCAGACTACGAAGTCCACCGCAAATGCCTCAAACCTCACTCTTGTCGCGCTGGACAACTAGATGCGTCCATTGTGCATCAGCCGAACCTCGCCGTCGCTGCTCAGGTTGTCAAGTTGCTCGCTACTGCAATGTTGACTGCCAGAAGAAGGATTGGCCAAACCATAAGACCGCTTGCAAGGACCATGTACAAAGCCTAGCGGATATCAAGGATCCCCTTACGGCCAACGTTATCCAGTTCTTTGCAAAATTTGTCGACGATTGGAGGTCCTCATTCCCCCAATGGGCAATGTTTGCAGCGAACGCAGCGAACCAACCAGTCGATTACCTGGAGACCCACTTGTGAGTTACGAACGCGGTTGGCTCAAACATCTGCTCACAAGGCAACTACTCAGCTTCACAGTCACAGTGCAACCTACAGCGGACGGCACAAGAACCAGTAGGAAGGCATTCTTCGACGTACGTGCTAACACTCCCTACCTCCCAATACTTAAGTTAGTAACTGCCATACTCTAGGTTACGCAGTCGTCAATGGTGCACAACGACAAGTTCTACACCGTGCTTCCTGTTGAGGCATTAAAAGAGGGCGACATCCAACAGAACCAGAAAGATTTCACCGAACAATTCGAGAAACTCACTAAGAGTCGCAACCACCTGCGAATCGTGGTAACATCAACTGTCATTTGCACCATATACACCGTCCCTATCGCAGCGATATTCCCACCAGAACTCCAAGGCTGGATGAAAAATAGCCAAATCAGCGATTTCATGCGAACCGTGTACGAAAACGAGTTCAAAGCAACGGTGGCGGCGGGCAAAGGTTCGTCACAGCGTCTGTATTCATAAAACGGCCCTGAAAAAAAAAAGTTCACCGGTCCCTTCTCAGAACAGTGGAATTGTTCGGTGTACGTACTCACGGGTAAAGTACTGTACGTGCCCGAAGACGAATAGGAATGTCATGTAGTGCGCGATGAAATGAATAGGACGACTTTTAAAAGAAACCCCAAAATATCAGTGATCGGATTCTAATCAATCAAGTATTGCGGTCTTGACCTTACTCAATATTACTACTCATGTGGGAGGACCTATCCTTCGCTCCGCCAGCACGGCGTCAACGTCTCCAGCGGCCGAGCCTCCCCATCCACCTCCCATGGACGAAGCACTACGAGAGTTTTCGCCACAGAGCAGTGCTTTCAGATGGGTCCGCACGAGAAGACCGTATTACTGCATACCTAACGGAAAACTGGTGCTTATGATGCAGAACGAACTCTGGTTCGCTAGCAGAATCTGGGAGGAAAGAGTCGCAGAGAGAAATTGTAGCGAACATTACAACGTCAACTTCCTCAGCTGCTGACTTCACCGCGTGGAAAACAACGATGGCACTCGGCCTCCTCCCGTAGAGGACTGCCTGGCACAAACAGCAGAGGAATTGTCTCAATGGGAGGAGATCCAGTCCCTATGTACGTGGGATCTTTCAACTGCGGAAGACGGCCCGATGCTTGTCGCAGGCTCTCGAGTTGCACTGCCACCCACCGTTTTCCCCCAAGGACACCCACAAAGCGGCGTCATAGTTGACACAGACCCCAAAGGGGTTTGTCGAGTCCGCGTCGCTTGCGATGGGGCGCCGTTGGATATCAACTCTCCCTCTCTTGTGGAAAACCTCCTCAAGATAGTGGAATCCGAGTTAGACGAAGTCCTTATCGACCGACCACGTCTCAGACCACACTTCATCAATGGCCCTGTTCAGCTTCAACTGGGTGACAGAGTTGTCATATTGAACGGACACCACCGCAAGAGAATCGGGAGAGTGGAACGCATACATCGCGGAAGGCAACATACAATGCTGACACTCATCGACAACCACATAACTATCAGCAACGTCGCACTGTCCAATGTTGGATGGCTATTCCTTCCGGGTGACCCTGTCTCTGTATATTACGGAGCTCACGCTGGAATCAGAGGGAGAATCAAAGGGACATTCGCACTGAAACACCTGAACCATGATCTCCAGCAATTCCCACCGGGGGGAATAGAAATCGAAGCGGTACGAGTCCTTTCTGCAAAAGGATCGCGATGACACGAACACAGGACAGAACGGATGACGTGGTAAGTCCAAGTCGCCTGGAAACACAAGTGTACAATGAAAAACCCAAAGATTCTAGTACCAACACAGTTTATCCGGCTGGACGTGCGCCTTCTGCCTACCCTAACCGCCCGGGCTCCAATCATCGTCGACGAGCATTGGCTGTCTCAGCAGGCGCTAGTAGGGAAAACTCTCAACGTCATCATCGCTCCAATAGAGAGAGGGCGCATATCGGAGTTGCAAGCTTCGTCCATAGGCAAAGCAGGATCGATTCAACTTCAAGAACCGATTACTCCGACCAACTTCGGTAACCCATTGACGGTTAAAATGCTCCATACGTCAATAGAGGTTCGTATCCTTCCGGAATGGCTGCTGCCTATCCACGATATACCCTGCGACTCGAACGGGCGGCGACGCTGCATCATCGTCGGGAAGGACGTCCACGGTCACTTGACTTTTGTTGGCAAATACGCTATTGCGCTCACCGCAAAGGATGAGTGGCCAATGCAAGCCACGGTGCTCGACGACACTGGGACTCCGATGGCAATTGCCTGGTTTCCCCGATCATCTCTCTGTCAATCCACCGGGTAGCAATAGAGGCGTGGAAGGGCTTTTTAAAGCCGAGGTAACTGAGAAGTAGGGTAATCCACTGTATAATCAGTGTAATAATGCTCTACGAGATGTTAAAACGAGGATATCTCTGAAGAACCAACGTCTTCAGGACTCTTTGTTTGTACTTGTTTGTTTTTGTTGTTTACAGGTGTTTGTTCGCGAGTTTTTCACATACAGGACCTTGTAAAGCAAGGTAATCTCCTTGAAATGGTGTCTCTGATGCAAGTTCATTTCCATCTCACACTGGGGTTTCTGCCAAAAAATAGGCCCTGAAGTAGGATTAATTTATGATCAATGGCAAACAAAAAAAATGTATATTTTCACAATTTAGAACAATAATAAATAAAGCTCCAGGAAAATAAATTTGTTTTATAAAGAATTGGGGCATATATTGAGTCATCAGATTGGACTTGTCAGGGGAACCTCCCTTTCGGCCCGGAGACGCGCCCGATTCCGGTCCGACTCCGGTTCCGACTCCGGTCCGGCCCTCCATCTCGCCCGCACAATCACCGATCCGTCAACGCCCTCCCGACGGTCGCCCTGGGACCTTGCCTGCGACGCCGCCCAAGCCTTCTGTGCCCGACAGCGGCAGCTACGGACAAGCAGTATATAGTCAGCTACCTAGCAGGCGGACCCTTAGAGTTTCTTCTCTTTGGATCCTCCCCTGCTAGGTCAGCTTCATTTGTATTCGCTTACCAATGTTCACGCTTTGGATCCTCCCCTGCTAGGACCTTGATCTCAACAATCTCCAAGCATGTTCTACTGGCCTCCAACTCATGTGTGGGGCTACGATTATATTGAATAGAGTAAGGAGGACTGGATTAGGGCTCAGGAGGATGAATTGTTAGAGAAATATTAATCTGTGTTCTCTATATAGTTCTGTAAATAAAAGGCCAAATAAAATTTGAGTTATATACTGTAGTATTTTATTCAGTTCATATGTCACGTGTCACACTAGCTATAAAACCCGAATTTTTTTTCACATGTCACACCTGTCAGTGGAACCTCCCTTTTGGCCCCTCGGAGACGATTCCGATTCCGGTCCGATTCCGGTTCCGACTCCGGTCTGGCCCTCCATCTCGCGTGCACAATTACCAATCTGTCAACGCCCTCCCAACGGTCGTCCCTAGCAGATGGACCCTTAGAGTTTCTTCTACTTGGATCCTCCCCTGCTAGGACCTTGATCTCAGGCCTCTGGGGTTGCCCTTATAGAGTCTAGCCACTACTGTTTGGCACCTTTGGTGGTAGGCCTGTTGGGCGTGCTCTATATCAACAAACCGCTGTCCATGTCAGTGCTGCGGAAAGACTGGTCCATTGCTTGCCGCCAGTTATCCCCAAGTCAAATACTTTTGTCAACTAATGTCTCTCGAGTCGACCCATACAAGCACTCAAGCTGCGGCAACCCAACCAGGGCCTAAATTTGAGTTTAATATCAAGACACTTCTCAGGCGGGGCTTGAGAAAACCTAGGCTTGGGAGCATACACCTACCATTCCAAACCAAACCAAAGCAGAGCTGGTGAAATCAGGCGAGTTTGTATTTTCTGCGACTTGCTACATGTTATTCATTTCCATGTCCTAGGCTGGCAAAGGCGGCAATCTCCGAACAGCAAGAAACTGAACAGTTGGCTATGATGCTACACGTTCAGAGTTTGCATAGGTCGAGGCAAGAGAGCCAATGAAGCTATGGCAAAGATGTTATAATAGCCACATTTGAGAAAATATCTATCATATTCTCTGTAAACATCGCTTTAAATCTTGCAGAGGATGTTCTAATGTTATTCATAGTTGGGACGAGAAGCAGATGAGGCTTTTATTACTTTTGGGGCTCAGCTTGCTTATGTCATCCACAACGATGAGTCCAAGTACTATAATCCGCCGGTTGAGGAGGGGGATGGCCTGCCGATGAGTATGACTTCTTCCCGAATCTAGTTCTTTGCAGAAGCCAAGGGATGACAAGAAGAGACTGCAGAAAAGAGAGTCCAACACAACACAAGCGAGCGTGCAATATTAGAAAAACATGTTTGTCAAGCAAGCGAAATTGAAGTTGATGAGTAGAGTAACACACTGTGCCATGTGCGCACACGTCTCCCCTTATCCCAGACAGACACAGTAACAAAGCGCCAAGCACCCTCTTGTTCATCCCAGGTGGGCAGTTGTTATCAGAGTGCAGTGACCATCACGGTCACTACACTCTCAAGCACTACCGTTGGTGGTAGGCTGTATTTCTGTTCACTGTTTGGTGCACTCTGCGCCAACAAACTGTCTGGCCCATCTTTGGTGATGGCACCATCATCTGTTGGCGCAATGTGGCCATCTTTCCTAGTGTGCATTTCATGACTGTGCTGCAAATACCATAAGCTACCGCAGCTCAACCCTTATATCACTATTTCCTTTGACTACACACATACTGTCAAATTTTATTCAATTTGAATGCCAAAAGTAGTGTGATATCTAATGCAAAAATATCAATTCAAATTATTTCCTAATTAGGTAGTTCTTGGTGCCGGAGGCGCCCGGAACTGTCAAAAATTGCTTTTTTGGGAGAGGTTTTCGAGCAAAATGGTGTTGTAAGAGCAACCCCGGAGGCCTGAGATCAAGGTCCTAGCAGGCTGTCATAGTTCGGGTCGGAGCGCCTGTAAGGGCAACCCTGGAGACTCCGACGAAAGCCTAGCAGGGGAGGATCCAAAGAGAAGAAACTCTAAGGGTCCGCCTGCTAGGGTGCCAACTATATACTGGTCGTCCGTAACTGCTGACGTAGAGCGCAGAAGGCCTGGACGGCGTCGCAGGCTCTGTCCCAAGGTGATCGTTGGCAGGGTCTTGACGGATCGGTGATTGTGCGGGCGAAGGAGGCCGTGGACGATGGTCGGGGTGGGTCGGAGCATCCGAGGGAGCGCCGGTCGGATGCACCTCGGATGTGCTCAGACGGTCCGAAGGAGGCTGAAGCGGGGTTCCCCTGACACTTTTATTGTATATCAATCAAAGTGGCAAAAAAGGCCATTGTTTTGGACCATTAGAGATTATCAGCAGCTGCAGAAAATAGCCTTCAGAAATTTTAAACTGGCTGCCAAATTTCAGAAACATTTTTTTGAGAATGCTAAGGCTTTTCTGCAAAAATTTCGAGCTTCTAGTGGTATGTCTGTAAGTGGCTGGTACTTACAACTGATTAACCTTTACTGTAACATATTTGAACCTGTTTTCAAATTTCTCTCATCAGTCGATCAATTTCTCTCAAATATTTTGCAAAACCAAGTGCTGATAATCTCTATTATTTTCTATATATAAATCCTGCTTAGGGGACCATTTTTCGGCTGAAGCCCTGGTGTGTCTGGAGCTACCTATTTAAACTACTTGAATTCATTCAAAGAGGGTAAAATTGTATTGTAGGGGTACAACATAACACATAACAGCAAATATCTTGATACTGGAAACATTGGCTAACAGCCACAATTACTCTCCCTTAGGCCAAGCAGATCTTCAAATCGTAGGTAAACAACGGAAGATCTCGATAATCGTCGATTCGCACGATGTAAGGTCAACCTCAATTGAAATTGTCCATTAAATACAAAGTAACGAAAAAGGCAGCGGTGAGATGATACACGAGATGGGGGTTCAGAGGGGAGGGGGAGTTCAGTTGAATCATAGGTTTTCACTTGCTCTCTTCAGTCTTCTCCAACGGGAAGCCGTTCTCATCTACGACGACGGCAACCGGGACAGGCGTGGTGTACATGGGCGGCGCGACGAATATCTCCTCGGCGTCGACATCCTCGATTTCGAGCACGGTGTAGTACTCCGCCTCGGGCGCAGCGCGGGCGCGGAAAGCGCGGACGGCGAGTACGGAGAGGACGAAGAACATGCGGAGGAGGACGCCAATGCCGCAACCTGGGGTAAACATTAGAAGAGCACGTGGAAATGAGTCGGCACGCACCAAGAACGAAAGCGACGGCGCGGCCCTCCCATGGACCCAGACTCATCAACGCGACATGTACGCGGCCGAGGAAGGACTCCGGGACGCCATGGCCGTGGGCGTGCATATGGTGGGCGTGCTTGTGCTGCGCATGGTGCACGTGCACCTTGACCGGGGCGTCAACGGGGAGAAGATGGTGCGGGCCATGGCCATGACCGGGGCCCTCCAGAATGGGCGGCAAGCCGGGGGGGAACTCTGTTCCAGGCGGCGGGCGCGTAGGCTCTCCGCCGCCACTCTTGATAGAAAACCCAAAGGCAATCTTGACGGCGGCGACCATCTTGCCCGCCTGGTAACGGAGACCACCACGGCCGCAGGGCTTCCCTTGCTGGCCATGGGTGAGGGCAGGGACAACGTTGGTGAGCTGGATGGGGACGGGGACAGCCACAGCGCCGACAGCGCCCTCGACGATGGGCATGGGCATGGCGTGCGGGATGCCGATCCTGCCTATCGGGACGGGCACGGGCTTGGTTAGCCGTGCCACATCGACGGCGTGCAGCTCCGCCACGTTGCCGTTGCTGGACGCAATGATGACCCGCATCGGACTGGCGTTGGCTGTGGCCGGGCAGCTCGTCAGCGCACTCATGACTCATCGCAAGCACGCACCGAGGCCGCCACTGAGGACGGCGAGTGCCACGACGTTGCTGGAAAGCTTCATGGCTGATTCAAATGAGTGTTGGGATGGAGGGTGGGTGGGTTTGGCTGGTGCGCTGGTGCAGGGATGAGGGTTTCGTGTGAGGGGGTGTGTGACGTGACGGGCATGACACATTCGTGATCCCCGAGATGTGACAATACTGCGGAGTGATGGGGCCTGGGCCAATGAATTTTGCCAGTGTAAGTAGTTTAAGTCGTCCAAGTCATATTTTGAACATGTTAGGTCACACATGAAGTACAGTACACGATCCAACAAACAACACACACTTGGGCTAACCTATACTACCTAGACATCTTTTAGTCGAGTCACCATCAAACACATTCCGCTCGCCCCCGCCCGCCCCGCAGGCCGCGGAGCCAGGTGTGCCCGGCCAGAAAGTCGACCCTGCGCAGGCCTTTCGCGCGCTCCGCCTGTTCCTGGTGGTGAACGCGGCGGACACGTGCGCCTTGCGTGCCGGCGGAAGCGCGGCCCACTTCCGCCGTGGTGATGAGCACGTGCAGCGTGTGGTGCAGCGCTGCGAGCAAGTGGCGGGTGTCCCAGGATCGATCTTGCGGTTGCGGCCCAGCCGAAGCAAACATCCGCATGGTGAGAAAGGCTCTGGACTGTCGCCTCCCCGGGCCAGGCGCCGTGCGTGATTCCCTTCGTTCGCCGCGTGTGGGCCAGCGCGTGCCAGTGGCGGTGTCGTTGAGGACGCGGTGCTGGCGCGTATCGTCACCGTGGCCAGCATTGCAGTGGCGTGCCCTGTGTCGCTGGGATATAGCTCGGCAATGGTCTGAGTTAGCACGGCAACGTCGTTTGGGTTATTTGCGGAAAGTGCTGACCTGTGTGCAAGTGCTTCAGTGGTATGTTATTGTCAATATTCGCAACAGACAGAGGTATATTCAAGGTATATGCGAGCGTTTATACGAGCACAAGCAGCGCCCCTCCGGCCAGGACGCCCGCCGTTGCCGCCAAGGATACGCCAAGACGGAGAGCACCGGCCTTCTGAATTGAACCCGTTGAACTCGAAGTATTCGCGGCGGACCCAGAAGAGGATGAACCAGAGGTGGAGCCAGAACTTGAAGACGAGGCCGCGCGGCTGCCGTCGAGAGTTGTCGGCCTCATGCTGAAACCAGCGCTTGTGCATGCCCGCACATAGTCTAACAGTATCGTCAGCAGAGCCACGCCAAGGTGAAGAATTGACACTGCGCACTGTCGAGAATCGCTTGGGCCCCCTCCTTCGTCATCACCCCATTGGTGATCATGCAGTTATAGCACTGCGCATAGCCGTCCACGATGCCTGTGGTGCACATCTCGGACAGCTTCGAGTTTGCGGCGAGTACCGCTTGGTCGACATCCGCGCACGCGGAAGTGCAGCCGCCGTTGCTTTGCCGCTCGAATAGTGGATGGCTCTGTGCGATAACTAGGAACATAAGAGAATCATCGAGAGCATAGGCGGTAGCTTACCCGCTGGAATCATTGCCAGAGCGATGGGCCACATGGGAGTAAGTTGCAACGACGACAGAACCGGCCGGTCATCAGGAGCGACGGGTTAAATACGACCTCAGGGGGTGGTATTGCCTTGGACGAGAAGTGTCAAATCAACCACTGTCGCTGGAAGTGGCAGGGACTCCTTTCAATCGTCCTGGAAAATGAACGATTGAAAGGAGCTTGTACTTAGACTTGAGGGCGCTCGCGAAACCATTTGACAATGGTGGCTGCACCTGGAACTAGTTATTAGAAACAACGAGGGACGACTCCGAAAAGACACACCTTACAGTGATTTTTCGTTCATGGCAGAGATGGATTAACCCTTGGTCAATGAGGGATATGCAAAAGAACAGGCACACACCCCACCAGACCCAAAGGAAGCGATGTCGCGTTTCGGAGTACATTGTGGTTTGGGAAAACCCATGTCACATCTGTCATGTCATCATGACATGCACGTTACAATCAGATGGAGGTCACGCATCATCCACGTAACGTATGCCAAGCTTCTTCTTCTTTTCCTTCTCCCACTCCCAGGCTTTTTGCCAGCTGGGTGCGTGCAGTCTATACCGTGATGTACTACGGCATACTGGCCCAGACATCCACCCTCGCTTTCCGGCTGCATCTACTTGTGCTCGCTCCCGCCGTGTGGAGTCCTGTAAACGGATGACCCTGATGTAGCGAAACGAGCGAGCCATGTGGGTAAGTTGATGATATCTTGACTTGTCCCGCATTGACTTACCTTTCACAGAGTTTCCTTGAGTCATGGATTCACTGTTCAGGCTCCGCTTCAGCCGCATGTGGTAACCCCCGCGTCCTGTCAACTCGTGCGTGTTGCTCATTCGTTCTCTTTGTCGAACTCGGAATTCATTCATGGCAGGCACACCAGAGAACCCTCGGCCGTAATTACGGATCTAAGTACTATCGAAAAAAATTGATCAGCGCTCCTACAATGTTTCCGACGTGCGTTGATACTTCCTATATCTGTTCGTGCCGCCGTTCATCTGAGTAAAGCGCATCTCATCGCTATTACTCATCGCCTTCAAGTTCTGCTCGACGTTCAAACTCCCAGCGCATATCGTATCGATAGCAATTCGGACCGCAACTTGCTGGACACAGACACGGCCTCCAGCCAACTCCGAGTCTTGCTCACTGGCAGTGTAACATGACCGACCGCTGGCGCGGGATGTCGTCAAATTTTATCTCCGCCACGATCAGAATGAACCATCGAGTGAAGGTACGTTGACGTTGTCCTGTAGGCGTAAGTGCGTAATCATGCATCACAGTCGCTGCGGCCTGAATGGCAGCGAATGCACGTTTGCAAGCCGCCACCGTACTTCCTTTTCATGTCAGCGTGGATGGATAGACAGGCAGAGCGTTGTTGGTGGCTTTCCCATTGGGTGGTGCCGATGAATCAGTAAGCATGAAGACCCCGGTGATTCGACTGGGTGGTGCATGGATGTAGCGGCCGGGATGCCGCACTGCGTTCGACAGACAATCAAATCTAATATACTATTCAGGATCAAGGGCGGGTTGGTTTAGCGTCGTGTCAAATTGCACGGTGAGTTGTTTGACGCCTTGCCGTTTGGCCGAGCATGCACTTACTCGGAATGGACGAGTAGTTGTTAACGGGACAAACTTAGAGCGTCCCAACGCGCATGTGGTGGATATGATGCCACTGGCGTACGTCAAGCCGAAACTAGCAGTAAGGAAAAGTCCAAGCAACATCCGGCTCGGAGTCGACCTCGCAATCTACAAGGATGAGGTAAGTGCTGTAAGTTGGGGCCTTCAAGTTGAGTGTCTTATGACTTTCGTCCTGCAACAATTGTTCATAGTCCAAGTCAGCGGCGTGGGCATACGAGACCCTGGCATATACTCTCTTCGATAAGATGATTCTCCACACTTATCTTATCATCCGTTCTGGGCTCGAAATTCAAACTCCGCGAAGAGCGACGGATGGAATTCTCGGTTCTCCGGTTCGTTTTTTCCACCCGCGCCTATCATTGAACGGAAAATCCATCTCCCGCCAACGTGGGGACAATTGGCCGCGGCCAATATGACTGTGAGGTTCATTGCGCCACAGAAGTTCGCGTACCATACCACTGTGAGTACACGGAAGGCAATTTGAGTAGTTTATTTGACCTACTGCAGTGCCAGTGCCAACGCTGTTGCGTTTCAATGGGTGGCGCGTCGTTCAGCATATGCACAACGCATGACTGCGACCGCCGCGGCCGCTAATGTACAGTCCAAAGATGGACAATGAACATCGATGGAAGACTGACAAGCTAGGCCGCTGGCTACTTCGGTCACAATAGGCTGGCAGTGCCACGGATTCCACCGACCGTCCCATGGGCGTTTACAAGTGCGTCATCATCTTACATGCCAGTGCGGTTGTTACCAGCCTACACACCACCAGACACGCGGACCTCGATGGCTGTGGAGCGTCTGAGAAGTTGCACAAAAAAGGGAAAAGTTAAAGTTTGTCGAATGCTTTCCAGGCACTTTCTTCTCACCGAACAGCGATCCGGCCTCATTGACTCGGATAAAAGTCCATCATTCAAGGGGAAGAATACACGATATCAAGATCACAATATTACTACACTTCTTACGAACACATTCGCCCTCTACATTTGATCGGCATCCTGGCGTTGCTCGTATGCTGCCTCTCCGACCATATCTCCGGTGTTTGGACGATTTCCAAGCTGTGTCGGATGTGTATACCCTAGTCCGCCGTTGACTGGATGAGAAGCAATGAATTTTTGGTCGTGGATCACAAATCCAAGAAGCCTGACGGAAGCTCACCCTTATCGGCGGCATACTGAGCACCCGGGGTCGGATAAGACGGTGGCTGACCTGTTGGATGGCCGCTATATGCATTTGAGCCCAGTCCGAGGTCAGAAGGTTCAGTGTTCGCAGTGGTGCCGGTGGAGTCTGCATTCCGGCGGTTAGCGCCGGTTGTCTATTAGCTGATAACAAGCTCCAGTCGAGCCACCTCACTTTGAGCGTACGCCGCTCCCCGGGGCGGAGGAAAACCATAGCTGCTCGTAGTCGCCTCGGAGTTCGCTCCGTTGATTCCTGTGCCCCAGCCTGGAGTGCAAAAGAAGCACAAAACTCAATGGCGTGCGGGTAAACCGGACTTCCTTCACACACACCTTGGAGGGAATTACCTGGCCCCGTTGCCGTGGGTTTGACAGAATGTCCCTTGATCATTGCAATGCCTTCTTCGATTTCCCTACGTCCTCGACGTGCGATCCCGTCGTTGGTGCTCGAATCGCGGTTCTCGACAGAGTCAATGGCAGCGAAGGTTGTCCCGCGGACAGTATTTCCGAGTCCTTGGGCTACTTTAGCACCGCCTCTGTACCAAATCCGAGATAAGCTGTCGCAACCCCGCATATGAATCAACGAATAGCGCACTTTACTTTGCTCCCGATGCTAGTCGAGTTCTTAGAGTGGGGGTTCTCGCTACCAGTGGGGGCTGCAGACATGGTTTCTGTGGGTCAGGGAGGCGTAAAGAGTTATAAACAAATCGACGACTCCGCAGTATGACGAAACCACAACTACTCTATGACATCATATGGACGAGTCATCCCACGGTAACCCTCCGTCGGCAATCAGAGTTTCCTTTTTCAGCGCCGCAAAGAGTATATAAGGAAGACTGGGGGTTATCATGCCATCCAACGAGCTTTCCCTCTCTCTGGGAGCTGGAAGAGCTTGTTTCATTCAACTCCTCTGGTTTTCCTTCATCAAAAGCCTTTCCAGATACTTCTTGCGTGCCACCTGCTGCACAGACCAGCTTCAAGGGACATTCACAGCTAATGTCGCTTGCTCTGCTTGTGCTCAGGCGTCCGCAAGGGTATCTGGAAGCTTTTGCGAAGAAAACTGAGGATAGGATGTATACTGACCTATTTCATTCAATTAGGCGGGTCACGGTCACATCAGATTTTTTGGCCGAAATATTTCGGCGGGTCACAGGTCACAGCCAAATCTTTTGGTCCCAAACTGTCCCAATCGGGAGGATTTTCAAATTTTCGGCCCCTGCAGCGCGCCAGACTTCCTAATCGGGTAGTAGGTCACGCGAAATTCGGCCTGCGGCCGAATTGGACATTTCAGCCAAACAGTCACGGGTCACAGGCCCGCTGAATTGATCGAAATGGGACAGTACCTTCGGTTCAAATGTGGTTTGAACACGCCAAACACTGTGTTTAACGTTCCGTGGCCCTTTCAAGTCATCTTTTCTGCCCACATGTCTCATACTAAAGCTCCTCAGCGCTCCTCTCTCATATTTCCCCACAAGAATCCAGGCTGATCACCCCATCAATTCTAACTGCAACAGCATGCATGGGCCACTGGCATACCTGTTATTCTCAGCTGCACTCATACCATTACCCTTGGAGAATCCACCGCTCAAGGGTTTCAATGTGGTACACATCGGCACTGCTTCTGTAACACACCTTCTTTGAAGCATAAATAGATGGCACTTCGAAGACGCTGGAAGTTGGATGGAAGCATCGCCTCCGCCATTGGCATGGGCGTGAGCTTGGCATCACTCGGATGTATAGTGAGTCAGCGCCGAGCGGCCCGGGCCTGTGGGCTTGTTTGATATAGGAACTTAAATAACTTGAAGTACTAGTATGGCAGTCTTGACTTCAATTTTTTGTCAGTACTATCACTACACTTCATATTGAGCTCAAAATCTTATGTGATTTTTCCTAATAACTTTCTGCATGTGACGTGATTGAAATTACTAAGATGAAAATCGAATCGGACCCGATCATACCTGATCATCGGATATGGTGATGTGATATGGACCATATCACATATGGTGACAGTGTAATGTGATAGCTTACAGTGTGACAGACTGTCCACGAGACGATTTCAAGCATGCTGAACTTAAAAGAGAAGCTGCTCGCCTCTCATCTGTGCCACCTCTGCATGAGTACGCCACAAACGTTAACCAATTTGGTACATAAACATAATATATAATATAATAATAATAATAATAATAATAATGTGAAATATTATATTATAATATTTAATCCTACTCCAATGAACCTTTGGCATTTTCAACCTTGGTTTCCAGTATATAGTTTACTCTCCAATAGTAGCTTTGTCAGGGGAACCTCCCTTTCGGCCCGGAGACGTGTCCGATTCCGGTCCGATTCCGGTTCCGACTCCGGTCCGGCCCTCCATCTCGCCCGCACAATCACCGATCCGTCAACGCCCTCCCGACGGTTGCCCTGGGACCTCGCCTGCGACGCCTGTCAGGGGATGAGGGTCCAGGTGCCTAGTTGATACCAAAGCCGGGGGAACAGCCCCACGGCCAACTACTTAAGTACAGGGCTATCTGCGCACGGACCAGTCACGTGATCAGTCACAGCTGTCACATCACATGCTCCCCTTACAACGCCGCCCAAGCCTTCTGTGCCCGACAGCGGCAGCTACGGACAAGCAGTATATAGTCAGCTCCCTAGCAGGCGGACCCTTAGAGTTTCTTCTCTTTGGATCCTCCCCTGCTAGGTCAGCTTCATTTGTATTTGCTTACCAATGTTCACGCTTTGGATCCTCCCCTGCTAGGACCTTGATCTCAGGCCTCCAGGGTTGCCCTTACAGCAGAAGAAACTCTCTACGGGATCAACCGGACAAGATTGCCAGGTTCGGCGCTGACTCAGGCTCGGAGTACGAGTCCGTTCCGCCCTCGTCACCGCCCCTGCCACTTGTCCCCTCCTCCTCTACTCCTGTGGTCCCCGCACCTGTCATGCCGTCCGGAGTCACTCCTACTGCAGACGCCCGGCTGGACTCACTCAAGGCGAAAATTGATAGCCTAACTGAGGCCCTTCCTTTACTCACCAACCAGGCTTCCGCTGCCACTGCCGCCGCTAATAATGCTGGCGGACCCCAAACACCATCGCCGGAGACGTCGATTCCGACTCCGACTCCGGTCCAGGGCGACTCCGAAGCTCTTTTTGGCGACATCAACCTCGCCTCAAAATTGGTCTTGCGACCAAACCCCCCGTTCACCTTCAACGGCGACCGGAAACGCGGCCGCGCGTTCCTCTACACGGTCCGCACCTACGCCCGCCTTGCCCCTGAGGCCTTCGTGGTCAATGGAGAGGCGAGCGAGGAAAAGGCTGTCCGCTATGCCATGTCGTTTATGGCAGAAGGACCCACTCAGCAATGGGCGGAACGCCACGGAAGCAAAGCCCCGTTTCCGTTTCCGTCCTGGGGCTCGTTCGTTTCCAAGTTTCGACTCCGGTTTGTCGAGGAGAACGAGCAAGATCACGCTCTCTCCAAGCTGGAGACTTCCGCCTATCACATGGGCACAAAGGATGTCTACCAGTACACTGACGACTTCGAGGACCTGATGGACCTCGCCGGATTCGAAGATACGTTGGTCAAGGTGACCAAGTTCCGCCACAGACTTGATCCCCTGATCATCAACGGAATCACGTCCTCGAACACCCCCCCGGGATTACCTTAGCTGGCGCACCCGGCCTTCTGTCAATACGAGACCCTGGTCCGGGCCAAGCTGATCAAGTCAGCCGCCCCCAAGACACCTGGCGGTTTGATTCGGACTCCGTTTCCGGTCAACCGCATCCCGGCTCCGGTCCCTTTCCGCCTGGTGGCTCCGGTTGTGCCACCCGTGGCCCGCGCCCCCACTCCAGCGCCTCCAGCTCCCGTCCCTAGGGAGTTGGATCGCACCAGGGCCCGGGGTGCCCCTCGTCGCGCCTGCTTCAGGTGCGGCGACCCAAACCATCTCGCCCGGGATTGCCCCCTCCCCGCCGATGTCCGCTCAATGGACATCCTCGATGAGGTAATCCAACAACCCAGTGAGGAGATGTTAGCGGAGTTGATCGCCCGCTACATGGACACAGCTGCCCTGCCGGAGACGGCAGCGGAGTCGATGCCCGGAGAGGATTTTATCTCCCGCAACAAGTGACTGGTATGCCCTCGTTTGCGTCCATAAATCATTTTGCCTCCTTGTATGATGAATGCAGTCCTTTGCCCTACAATGAGCCCGAAACGAAAGACACACCCTCTCCTGCCCCCGCCTCGACTCTGTCTCCGACTCTGCCCGCGACTCCGGTCATTATCCTTCGCCGCCTCACTGCCTGGGAAAGGAAACTACCCAAGCAGTATACCGTTGCCGGGGTGAACTCCCTCCACCTCCCGTTAAAGCTAGAGTCCACCACCAGCGCGCTGAAGCTCTTGCTCTCTGGGCTTGTCGCCTGTGGTGCCACCTCCAACTTTATTGATACGAACTATGTTGCTCGGAACGGCATTCCGGTCTGCACCCTCGATCAGCCGATTATGGTTTTCAATGTTGATGGCACCCCCAATGACGCTGGCTCCATCAAACAGATCGCGGACTTGGTCCAACTGGCCGTCACCCATCTTGGCAAGCAAGACCTCATCCTGGGGTACTCCTGGTTGCGGAAACACACCCCAGAGATCAATTAGGAAACCAAGGAGGTCAAGATGACATGATGCCCTGCAACTGCTCAACCTGCCGTGAGGAGGAGCGTGTCAAATGGACCGAGCTGCGGCGACTCCGGTCGCTCCAGAAACGTCTCCGCTCCGGCCTGTTCCCCTCGGTTTGCACTATGGACCTCTCTGGCCCTGATGATGGAGACAATTCCAAGTCCGGTCTCGATTCCGGCCTGCCTGATCTGATACCGGATTTGGACTTGGACCCGGATGATGACCAGCTCGAAGATGGTGACCACATCTTCTACATGGTCACCATCTTCTACACCTCATTCCAGCCCTTGGAGGAGATACGCACAGGCAGCACCGTCTCACAGAGCCTGGCCGAAGCCTTTGCCAGGAACTCCGCCCCGCCACTCTCAGACATCCCGGACTGGGCTAAGGAGTTCCAGGACATCTTCAACAAGGAGTCCTTTGACAGGAGAGCCTGGGACCACGCCATTGAACTTGTCCCCGACGCTAAGCCCACCAACTGCAAGGTGTACCCCATCTCGCCCCTTGAGCAACGCGAGCTCGACACGTTCATCGAGGAACGGCTGTCGACGGGCCGGATTTGCCCCTCCAAGTCTCTGATGGCATTTCCAGTCTTCTTTGTCAAGAAGAAGGATGGCGGACTCCGCTTTGTCCAGGACTACCGTGCTCTCAAATGCGATGACCATAAAAAACCAGTATCCCCTCCCGCTGATCAACGACCTTGTTACTTCACCAAACTTGACGTTCGTTGGGGGCTTCAACAATGTCCGGATCAAAGAAGGTGATGAGTGGAAAGCAGCTTTCTGGACTAACCGAGGCCTGTTTGAGCCCTTGGTGATGTACTTCGGCCTGACAAACTCTCCCACGACATTCCAAACGATGATGAATGACATTTTTCAGGACCTCATCCTCTCCAGAGATGTCATGATCTGCCTTGACAACATCTTGATTGCCCATTCCGACCTTCAGAAACACCGGCAGATCGTCCAGGAGGTCTTATGGCAACTCCGAGAGCACAAGCTGTACCTCCGAGCGAAGAAGTGCGACTTTGAAAAATCATCAATTGAGTACCTCGGAGTCATCATCTCCCACAACCATGTCGAAATGGACCCCGTCAAGGTTGCAGGTGTCTCCGCTTGGCCGACTCAGGAAAACAAGAAGGACATTCAGCAGTTCCTTGGGTTTGCTAACTTCTACCGCAGGTTCATTCAGGACTTCTCGGCCCTTGCGCGTCCTCTCTTTGCGCTCACGGTCCTTCTTGGTGAGTGGCTCACCAAGAAGGACCAGCAATGGACTTGGGGCGATGCGGAGGCCAGTCTTACATATTACATGCTGAACTTACAGGGTTAGAAGTTCAGATGATATTATTCATATCATACACATTATACATTTGCTGAAGCTCAGTTCAGTCCTTGGGCCAAATTTGTTCAAAGGTTGCACAAACTCATAATGCAAGGGAACTGAACATTTAATAAGGGTATATCAGAGATTTTCATCACTAGCATCTTTGATTGCAGATCTAGTAGATATATGCAACTCAATGCATCAATCTTTCAAGGTGAAAGATAGTGTAGAAAAAATTTGATTTTTTGCACAAAGATTTCCTTTTTTAGAACAAATATGTAAGAGGTTCAGGCTAGCTTTTTACACATTACACATTTGGAGGAGTTCAGTGTTGAGTTAGTAAGCCCGAAGTGTATGATGCATCATTCATCTTGTTCAAGTCAACTGTGCTTCGTGAAGTGTGTGCGCACAGTCTTTACACAACTTCTTTGCTACTGTGTAAACTATCAGCTCAGAACAGATATAATTTCACTGACAAGTACATTTACAACATTCAAATATGCATAATCATGATTTATCATTCACTCTGGCATCTTGCTGTTGTTCTTCAACGCAGCCTTGACAAGGTCCCTAACGCCTTCCTCTGCCCTATTCCTGAGCTTGATTACCTCCTCCCGTGCTTGTGTGATAATCGCGATCACCTCTGCAGTCAACCCCCACACCTTGATTTCTTCTGCACTCAAAGGCGCATTTCGTGTCAAAATTGCGATGTAAGCTTCCTCAGCCTGGGCGCGCGCCATGTCTTCGCGTTCGCACAACATGATTGTCTCGAAAGGATCAACATCAGGCGCAACGAGCAGATTTCGCAGGGCAATCTTCTTGATATTGTCCATCTCGAACCGATCTGCAAGCCTGAGAATCGCTTGCCAAGTAGTCTTGGGGGCAGTGTAGTTGGTAATCAATCTATCAAGGCTGTTAGCAACGAGACGGGAAAGACAATACCAAGGTACGGATTGTAGTAGAGCCAGAGGAGATGCTCGAAGTCTTTGCTCTTGACGCCATCAAGGTGGAAGACGGGCTCCGGCCCGGTGGCTGATATCTCGACTGGCGCCATGTCGCGGAGCACAGGTGAGTCGCGATGGAGGAAATACGCGTGGACTCGGAAGAGGACATGTTGTACCTAAGTCCAGTGAAATATTTAGTTTTGAAAATGATCATGCTGACGACCCACTTCGAAAACAAGCATGCCATGATCCCGAAGCCAGAAGTGGGTGCTTTGAGAGCATGGCTTCGAGTCCGGATTCATGCTTGGATGACACCCAAAGCACACTGGGTAGTACAGGCACAGGACGTGCACATTTGCGGCCTTTAATAGTCAACTGGGGGATCATGATCGCGATAGGGCTGGATCGAAGAGCAGCAGCGTGAAGGCCAATGGTCAGCGCAAAATCTATCATGGGGCCAAGGGTGCGCCACGGTACTCAACGACGAGGAACATATTTTGGTGGGTGGATGGATGATTTGATTTTGGATGTGCCACCGTTTCGTTGTGGGTTGGGAAGGATAATGGATCGCAGGGAGAAGCACAATGTGTCGGCACTCGACCCGGAATTGTTGACGGATATATGATATCAAGTTGGGGAGGCCAGTCTCTGTCGAAGTCTCAGACGCGAAGGTCCGGCGGGACTTCGTCAATTGTGGAACTTGTGGTGCTTTGGTGGTGGTGCGGGTTGGGAACTGAGATGAGTATGGCGCGGATAGGCTGAGTGTGTGGTCGCAGCCGAAATGCGGAACCAATCGTCCACAGGATATGCAAATCGCACAGCGGAAGGTATCTTCTCCCAGAACTTCAAGGACAAAGAATATCCGAGGCTTTTCTTCTTGTCACAGTTGAGGGAGAAGTAGTAGAGGTCGCAACCATGAGGCCTGGTCGTCATATCTCGAACCCAACCACTGGCACCTCTCCAGAACTCGCCCGCTGCATGCGTGCGAGATGATAATCCAGGCTGTGTGGATGACGACGCGGCACCGGGTGAGAATGCGGAAAGACGGATATGACTCTGAGCGCGAGCTGGAGGGTATGTTGTTCTGCAGGGAAAAGAAGGAATACATATCAGAGTAGGAGAAACTGGCATAAAGGTCTGTCAAAGCAAATGGAAAAAAGCGTCATGCGGTCACGGTGTGACCTGCATCACGGTGTGACCTGCAGGTTCTTCCATCTCTCAATACCGCGAGGTAACTTGAATCAAGGCCATAGCACTTTGAAAGAAGGGGGGGGGTCACCGGTCGGTCGTACTTCGTGGCAGTCATGATGCCCCACCCGTTGCGAGCACGCGGTCCAGTCGCCTGACGGCCGACGTGCTATTTTTGGTCTCACTGGCCGTCCCCCCTTCCTTGCGCTTTGCCATGGTCAAATTCACGCTATACACCGGCGGCTACAGTGCGTTAGGCCATACAATTCTCGGGTTTTGCTCACCGGCAGTGATGTAGCATCGTTCATCGTTTCCTACCTCTTCGACACGCAGACCTCTGCCCTCACGTACCTCCAAACTATTCCCACTTCAGCCAATCCATCCTGGCTCAAGCAGCATCCAACCGACAATAATGTCATCTAGTACGTGGTCATCAACCCCCTGGAGCCTGAGACTTACATGCGCAAAGTGCCGTCAACGAAGTAGGACCGCTCGGGATGCTGCAGTCCTATACAGTTACTCCTGCGGGTGGTCTCTCCCTCCTCGATCAAGTGACTTCGGGCGGAAACGGGCCTGCTTTCTGCGGCCCGCTATTGACAGGACAGGTCGCTATCATGAACGTGAGTGACCACCCAGAGCTTTGCGTGGCTCAGTTCCTGCAGTATGGCTCTGGCAATGGCGAAATCGTTCCAACATCCAAGACCGGTACTCAATTCAATAACTCCACGTCGACCCTCCTTTCATTCACTCCGCCACCTGGTGGTACCTCGAACCCACATATGGCGGTTGAGCATGGCAGCGAGGTCTTCGTCCCAGACCTAGTGTGTTATAGTAACTTCGCGCATCATATCTCATGCTGATCGTTAGCCAGGGCGGCGACAAAATCTGGCGCATCGGTCAAGTTGGCGGCGGCGCTGGGGATTTTGCAATCCATGGTTTCATTCAGCACCCAAAAGGGACGGGACCCAGGCATATGGCCATACTGGGTTCGCTGTCGCCGCGTATCTCTTCTCTTGCTTAATATAGAATATAGGCTCAGACTTGTTTGTCCTCCATGAAACCGCAAATCTCCTTACAAAACAAGCCATCCCCTCTTACCCCAACGGTACCTCTCCCTTCCTCGCCAATGCCACGACGGTTGCTTCGGATAGCCCCGCGGGTGCGACCTTCGCCGCTGCGGAAATTTTGCTTCCAGTCACCCCCCAGCCTCTCATATACGTGTCAAACCGAAATATTGCCGGTACACAAGATCCTCGCGGAGACACCATCGGAATCTTCAACCCTTCTGACTTGAGCATTGTCAAACAGGTCTACACTGGCCTTGTCAATATCCGTGGGATGGAACTGGGCTTAGGACCGACCGGGGAAGAATATCTTGTCGCGCTTGGCGCGGTTAGTGGGGGGATGGTCATCTTTAAGCGGGTGGATGGGGGGCGAAATCTCGTCGAGGTTGCAAGGAATTCGAGCGCAGTCCCGCGCACGACAGTGGTCATGCTCCCAGCCGTTGAAGCTGGTCATAGTTAGTACGAGCTTTCTGCAGACGACTCGGAATTGTCTATGCAGAAGTGTTGCCGGGCGAAGCCTGACAGCCAATATTCGTTTATGAAGGCAACATTTACGTCTCGCACTGTAATTTTTGCGTCCAATCTGTTGCTCATAGAGAAGCAACATGAGGCAGGCATAGTTCGAGCGGTAGCCTGACGCTCCATGTTATGTGGCTCGGGCACCAGCAGTGCGGGGAGCCAAATTCACATCCTCCACCACTCGGCCCATAGTTCCCATCGCCCCTCAGTTTTGCACCTCTAGGAGGCGCGGGTACATAGAGAAGAGAAAACGGCAAAGATTTGGCGTGGCGCGCACGGACCATGCTGTGCCGCACGTGCCACATCATTCCCTTCCTTCTTTCTCGACCTTGCTCGACCTTGACTCGACCACTCGTTTTCCCTCAGCACGGACTGTGCTGGCCGCCAACGCACGGTTGCTTGATGGCCTGCCCGCTGCTGGGCACGGGTAGGATCGGGGAAGACCGGAGGAGCTGTTTGGTGGGACTTGGGGCGGCAGGGGAGGAAGCTTTGGACTGTGTGACGGTGTGTTCTTGGTCTTCATCGTTGCATGGGTTGTACTTAGCTCCTGATTGCAGGCTTTTCATTGCTCCCCGTTGATGTAGAAGCTCCCGCACTGCCGCTCGATCCTCACCAGCGCCGGTCTGCGTTGTGTCGTCAATATCGCATGAATGTAGAAGACTAAAGCTTACCCTCACATCCCACGTCTGAGAGCCGCCACCAAGCGAGACACCACTCAATAGTCGCGTTATTCGCTGTCTCAGCCGACGCTGTTCTCTCGGGTGGAACAAGGAGGTCGCAGCCGAATCCGCCTCCGGAGCATGTCCAGCGTTTCCTGCTTCTCGATACGGAGCGGTCAGTCTATAACGTCACGGCTTACTTTTCTGAGTATGGCTCAGAGAACTGCAATCCTGGTACACGGCCCTGGAGGCATCGCGTTCAGCTACTTCCCTGCTGCTGCGGGTGGCCATGAGTTTGGCATGGCGACTTTGTCGACGGACAACAAGACTGTAACCACCAATGCCAACTTCGACAACCTTGTCTCCCAATACCGCAAACTATTCTCTCCCAGAGAATAATGCTTTGGAAGTGAGCACAACTATCCCGCCAACACCAAACACGGATGCCTGCACCTGTCTTCATAACAAGCTTCCGTGCTTATTCAAGCCGGCGACCAGCAACATGGGCACGTTGACGGGGGTTCTCTGCAGCCTGCTTGGTCAAGTTGGAGGCAGTTGTGTGGATATTGGAACGAACAAGACCACTGGTGTGTATGGGACAGTTGCTAGCTGTGACCCTGGTGTGTTTTTCTTTGCGACTTGAGCATTCCACAGTCTCACCTTTCGCCATTTAGCCACTCGTCTCTCTTACGCCTTCTCCCAATACTACGAACTAACCGCTCGTGTGGCCACTTCTTGCGACTTCGCGGGCAATGCCACGCTATCCGACTCGGTCAAGTTGTCGCCCCCCAACGTCGTTGCGCGAAGCTCAGCTGTAACCCAATGCCTCACCAGCCCGAGCGCAGTTTTCACCCCCAAAGCAAGCTCTGGTGCCCCCGGTCCCTCGGGCAGTGCTGGCGGTGGAGGTGGAGGTAATGGTTCGGGTGGTAATAGAGGCAGTAGTGGTGGAATGGCGGAAGCCACAACACAAATGGCGCGAGTGTCCCTATGCGGGTCGGGGTTGGTGGTCTCACCTTGATTGCTACTATCTTCCCTACTACTATCGAATGGGACGGACGCACATCGGACATGATAGATACGACTACTACTGCTACCATATTCTTAGCTACAGCTCTGCGTGTACATATAGTTTTGTGCCTTGGCAGACGATCTCATCGCTCGTTTTTTCTCCTTACGGACTGTTACGGACACAGAATCTAATTTAAATTTGAAGGACTTGTCAATTGACATGAGCACAGCTCGGCGTAAAAATGTTCTTTTGAGCTCCAAGTTCAAGTCCATCTCAAGATTCAAGAACTTGAAGCATATCACCATGGTATTGATATCGTAACTTACACAATTTCTCATAACTTGCAAAAATTTGCCAAAAAAAGTCGAGTATTTCTATCTTTACGCTGCTCTTAACTGCGTCGCCGTACTAGTACTAGTTATATAACTCCTGCGGGTGATAGAAACCGCATGGCAAAGAGAGAACAACACCGTCAGCTCGAGCATTAATATTACCAAGGTTTTGTAGTCTGTTCCGCATATCCTAGGATAAAGTAGATATATTGTATCGGACATCTTGTATTGTAGCTTTATCTTCAATCTAATAGGTGTATTGCTCTAACATGATTGAAAGTGTAAGGGCAACCCCGGAGGCCTGAGATCAAGGTCCTAGCAGGGGAGGATCCAAAGAGTGAATAGAAGTAAGCAAATACAAGTGAGGCTGACCTAGCAGGGGAGGATCCAAAGAGAAGAAACTCTAAGGGTCCACCTGCTAGGTAGCGGAACTATATACTGCGCTCTTGACGCGCCAAGGTTGATCGTTGCTCCGTGCAGTATGCCTGCGCCATGTCGCAGGCCAGGTCCCAGGGGGATCGCCAGGCGGGGGGCGGCGATGCGCCTGACGGAGGCGGTGATGCGATCACCGGAGTCGGAACCGGAGTCGGACCGGAATCGGGATCGTCTCCGAGGGGCCGAAAGGGAGGTTCCCCTGACATCACCCCCCCCTTTGAATGCGGCGTCCCGACGCATAGACCGGAACGGAATCGAGTCGAAGGTTGCGGAGGCGATGTGCCGTGGTTTGCCAGGGTACTTACGGTAGAACTCCGCGATTTTGTCCGGGGCGAAGACGCGGTCGAAGCGGACCCACTGGTCGTGCGACGCGTCGTAGCCTTTCCATCTGACAAAGTAATTCAGCCGTTTATACCTCACCCTTGCGTCCAAGATCTCCTCTACTTCCCACTCCGGGACTCCGTCCTCGAGGTCCGGAGGGGGCTGGTCGTAGCCGGGCGTCCGTCGAAGGGGTCGTCTTGGGCGAGCTCAAGCTTGACGACGGGGAAGACCGGGTGGAGCTTCGAGTAGCGCGGAGGGAGGTCGAGCTTGTAGGCACCTTTGCTGATCTCCGCGACTATCTTGAACGGACCGAGGCGGCGGTGGGAGAACTTCTCCGAGGGGCGAGTCGTCCTGATGTCAGAGGCATCCAGCCAAACACGGTCGCCAACCTTGAACTCCGGAGACGGAGTGCGTCTCCGGTCGTAGTAGCGCTTATACTCTTCCTTGGCCTTAGTGAGCGGCCTTGGCTTCGGCAACCCCAGTGGCAATTGGTCGCGGAACTCGTTCACAGACTCCATAGCGGAACGGGCTCCGGGTTCAAAGCCCATGCGCGGAAGCCGTCCCGTGTCCGTCATGAAGGGGACTTGCTGCGTGGATGAGTGGACGTGGTTGTTGTAAGCGAACTCCGCGGCCGGAATCAGCTCATCCCAGTCGTCCTGCTGATAGTTGGTGAAGATCCGCAGGTACTGCTCCAACTCCTGGTTGACGCGCTCTGTCTGACCGTCCGTTTGCGGATGATACGCGGTGGACGTGGCTGGGTTGATGCCGATTAGACGCCAGAGTTCTCGGGTGAAGTCCGCGATGAACTGTGAGCCACGGTCGGAGACGTACTTCTCCGGAGTCCCGTGATGGCGCCAGACATTCCGGTAGTAGAGGCGGGCTGCTCCTACTGCGTCGACCGTGGTATGGCACTCGGAGAAGTGGGCTCGCTTCCCAAGGGGTGTCCACGACGACCATGATCGCGTCGTACCCATGGGCCTCGGGAGCTCGACAATGAAGTCGACGGAGACGGTATGCCAGCGCTCGGGGTGTTTCCGTCGGGTGTAGCTCTCCGTGGGGCAGTCTCCGGAGCGCCTTGGTGCGACAGCACAAGTCACAGGTCGCTACATACCGGCCGATATGGCGAGACATCTGAGGCCACCAGTAGTTCCGGGAGACCAACTCCAAGGTCTTGAAGCGACCGGCATGTCCGGCGACTCGAGTGTCATGGCAGAGCTCGATGATGCGCCTCCGGAGGTCCTTGTCCTTGGGCACGACAATCTTCCCACGGAAGTGGAGAAGACCACCGGAGACGGCCCACTCGTCGGAGCGTGAGGAGCGGGGGCCTCGAGCTTGACCTTGGACCTTTAGGAGTTGCCGGGCCGCTAGTGCGACGGGCTCCTCCAGGTCAGGCTCACCGGAGAGGGCATCGCGAATGTCGCGAAGAAGTTCGGAACCGGGACCGGAAACGGAAACACCCTCGAGTGCGCGGACGTGGAAGAGTTCGGGCCGCAGAAGGACGACGCCGGAGTTGTCGGAATCGATTCCGTGGTCGGGTCTCCAGAGAGGGCGTCAGGTCGGCCCATGTCGCGACCGGGCTTGTGGTGCAGCGTGAAGTCGAACCGGGAGAGGTAGAGGGACCAGCGGGCCTGTCTCCGGTTGAGGTGCTGCGTCTTCCTGAAGTACTCCAAATTCTTATGGTCAGTCCAAATCTCGACGGGATGCGCGGCACCCTCGAGGAAGTGTCTATACTCCTCGAGTGCGCGGATGATCGCGAGCATCTCCTTGTCGTGGATTTCGTAGTTGCGCTGGACATCATTTAAGCTTTTGGAATAGAATGCTACAGGGTGCCACTTCCCGTCCGGGGCGGATTGTGAAAGAACCGCCCCCCGTCGCATAATCAGAGCTGTCCGCCTCGAGTCGGAAAGGCCGTGCGTCGTCCGGAATCGCCAGGACCGGTTCCGAGGTGACCGCGTCCTTGATCGCTTGGAACGCGGAGGCCTCCGCGTCGCCCCAAGTCCATTGCTGGTCCTTCTTGGTGAGCGCAAAGAGAGGGACGCGAGGGCCGAGAAGTCGCAAATGAACCTGCGGTAGAAATTAGCGAACCCAAGGAACTGCTGAACATCCTTCTTGTTTTCCGGAGTCGGCCAGGCGGAGACGCCTGCGACCTTGACGGGGTCCATTTCGACGTGGTTGTGGGAGATGATGACTCCGAGGTATTCGATTGACGATTTTTCAAGTCGCACTTCTCCGCTCGGAGGTACAACTTATGCTCTCGGAGTCGGCGCAAGACCTCCTGGACGATCTGTCGGTGTTTCCGGAGGTCGGAATGGGCGATCAGGATGTCGTCCAGGTAGATCATGACGTCTCCGGAAAGGATGAGGTCCTGGAAAATGTCATTCATCATCGTTTGGAACGTCGCGGGAGAGTTTGTCAGGCCGAAATACATCACCAAGGGCTCGAACAGGCCTCGGTTAGTCCGGAAAGCTGCCTTCCACTCATCACCTTCTTTGATCCGGACGTTGTTGAAGCCCCAACGAACGCCGAGTTTGGTGAAGTAACGAGCGCCTTTGAGCCGGTTGATGAGGTCGTTGATCAGCGGAAGGGGGTACCGGTTTTTGACGGTCATCGCGTTGAGGGCCCGATAGTCCTGGACAAAGCGGAGTCCGCCGTCCTTCTTCTTGACGAAGAAGACCGGAGACGCCATCGGAGACTTGGAGGGGCGAATCCGGCCCGTCGACAGCCCTTCCTCGATGAACGCGTCGAGCTCGCGTTGCTCAAGGGGCGAGATGGGGTACACCTTGCAGTTGGCCGGCTTAGCGTCGGGGACGAGTTCGATGGCGTGGTCCCAGGTTCTCCGTTCCGGGAGCGTGTCGAAAGACTCCTTGTTGAAGACGTCCTGGAACTCTTTAGCCCAGTCCGGGATCTCGGAGGGCGGGGGAGCGGAGTTCCTGGCGAAGGCTTCAGCCAGGCGCTGCGAGACAGTACTGCCAGCGCGTATCTCCTCCGAGGGACGGAACGAGGTGTAGAAGATGCGGTCACCATCTTCAAGCTGACCATCGTCATCGTCGTCGTCAGAGTCCCGGCGTCAGATCAGGCAGGCCGGAGTCGTCGCCGGAAACGGAATCGTCTCCGTCATCAGACCCAGAAAGGTCCATGGCGCAGACCGAGGGGAACGGGCCGGAGCGGAGTCGCTTCTGGAGCAGCCGGAGTCGCCGTAGCTCAGTCCGTTCAACGCGTTCTTCCTCGCGGCAAGTGGAGCAGCCGCGGGGGCACCGCGTCATCTTGACCTCCTTGGTTTCCCAATCGATCTCTGGGTTATGCTTCCGCAGCCAAGAGTACCCCAGGATGAGGTCTTGTTTACCGAGATGGGTGACGGCGAGTTGAACGCTCGGAATGGCCTTTGTAGCGTAGGACCAAGTCCGCGATCTGGTTGATGGAGCCAGCATCATTCGGAGTGCCGTCGACGTTGAAGACCGGAATCGGCTGCGCCAGGGTGCGGACCGGAATGCCATTCCGAGCGACGTAGTTCGTGTCGATGAAGTCGGAGGTGGCACCACAGTCAACAAGCCCAGAAAGGGAGAGCTTCAACGCACTGGTGGTGGACTCTAGCTCCAACGGGAGGTGGAGGGAGTTTACTCCAGGGGAGGCAGCGACAGTGTACTGCTTGGGCAATTTCTTTTCCCAGGCAGTGAGGCGGCGAAGGACGACAACCGGAGTCGCGGGCGGAGTCGGAGACGGAGTCGAAATGGGGGCAGGGGAGGGTATGTCTTTCGTTTCAGGCTCGTTGTAGGGCAAAGGAATTGATTCGTCATACAAACAAGCGAAACGATTTATGGACGCGAACGAGGGCACACCAGTCACTCGTCGCGGGGGACAAAATCCTCTCCGGCCATCGACTCCGCAGCTGTCTCCGGCAGCGCAGCTGTGTCCGAGTAGCGGGCGATCAACTCCGCTAACATCTCGTCACCGAGTTGTTGGATCACCTCGTCGAGGATGTCCATTGAGCGGACGTCCCGGGGGGGGGGCAATCCCGGGCGAGATGGTTTGGGTCGCCGCACCTGAAGCAGGCGCGACGAGGGGCACCCCAGAGCCTAGTGCGATCCAACTCCATGGGGACGGGAGCTGGAGGCGCCGGAGGGGGGGCGCGGGCCGCGGGTGGCACGACCGGAGCCACTGGGCGGAAAGGGGCCGGAGCCGGGATGCGGTTGACCGGAAACGGAGTCCGAATCAAACCGCCAGGCGTCTTGGGGCGGCTGACTTGATCAGCTTGGCCCGGACCAGGGCCTCGTATTGACGGAAGGCCCGGGTGCGCCAGCTAAGGTAGTCCCGGAGGTCCGGGGGTCGTTCGAGGACGTGATTCCGTTGTTGATCAAGGGGTCAAGTCCGTGGCGGAACTTGGTCACCTTGACCAACGCGTCTTCGAATCCGGCGAGGTCCATCAGGTCCTCGAAGTCGTCGGTGTACTGGTAGACATCCTTTGTGCCCATGTGATAGGCGGAAGTCTCCAGTTTGGAGAGAACATGATCTTGCTCGTTCTCCTCGACGAACCGGAGTCGAAACTCGGAAACGAACGAGCCCCAGGACGGAAACGGAAACGGGGCTTTGCTTCCGTGGCGCTCCGCCCATTGCTGAGCGGGTCCTTCTGCCATAAACGACATGGCATAGCGGACGGCCTTTTCCTCACTCGCCTCTCCGTTGACCACAAAGGCCTCAGGGGCAAGGCGGGCGTAGGTGCGGACCGCGTAAAGGAACGCGCGGCCGCGTTTCCGATCGCCGTTGAAGGTGAACGGAGGGTTTGGTCGCAAGACCAATTTTGAGGCGAGGTTGATGTCGCCAAAGAGGGCTTCGGAATCGCCCTGAGCCGGAGTCGGAGTCGGAATCGACGTCTCCGGGGTGGTGTTGTTTGGGGTCCGCCAGCAGTATTAGCGGCGGCAGCGGCAGCGGAAGCCTGGGTGGTGAGAAAAGTAAGGGCCTCAGTTAGGCGGTCGATTTTCGCCTCGAGTGCATCCAGCCGAGTGTCAGCGTCAGGAGTAGCTCCGGAAGGCATGACAGGTGCGGGGACGACAGGAGTGACAGAGGAGGAGGGGACAAGTGGTAGGGGCGGTGACGAGGGCGGAACGGACTCGTATTCCGAGCCTGAGTCAGCGCCGAACCTAGCAATCTTGTCCGGTTGATCCCGTAGAGAGTTTCTTCTGCTGTAAGGGCAACCCCGGAGGCCTGAGATCAAGGTCCTAGCAGGGGAGGATCCAAAGAGTGAATAGAAGTAAGCAAATACAAGTGAGGCTGACCTAGCAGGGGAGGATCCAAAGAGAAGAAACTCTAAGGGTCCACCTGCTAGGTAGCGGAACTATATACTGCGCTCTTGACGCGCCAAGGTTGATCGTTGCTCCGTGCAGTATGCCTGCGCCATGTCGCAGGCCAGGTCCCAGGGGGATCGCCAGGCGGGGGCGGCGATGCGCCTGACGGAGGCGGTGATGCGATCACCGGAGTCGGAACCGGAGTCGGACCGGAATCGGGATCGTCTCCGAGGGGCCGAAAGGGAGGTTCCCCTGACAGAAAGCCATTTCCGAAACAGCAATAAATTGCTGGAAATTGCCTGGAAATTTATGGGAAATTCACTCTGATTTTCCGAAATTTCTGGGGGACTAAAGGAATCACAGAAATTCCGGAAATCGAAGAAATCAGGTAAAATCCTTGCTGATTTTAGGAAATTTCAAGAAATCTCATGGGATTTCTGGGGGAGGTATTTCCTGATGTCGTATTCCCCGATTCTGAATGGGAAGGAGGAGAACCGCAAGAGATTCCGCAACTCCTGTGGGACTCATCGAGTCGGTGGAGGACGGCCGAGATACACTATTGCGATAGAAGGACATCTCTCCCTATTCCAGTGGATGAGCCAGCGTCGTCACTTATTCCAATAGAGAGAACGCAACCACTCCTTGGCAAGTTAGCCCTCCTCGAGTCTTTCTCTTGCAACCTGAATCTTGCTCGTGGCTCTTTATGGCCTCCACTCTTCGGCCAAGCCACCAATCTCCGGCGTCTCTCTATAAAGAATGCTACTGTGGTGCTGAACCATGCCTTCCCTGTACAAAACTTGAGGTCACTGGAACTCCTATCGGACGACGCCAAGCTCGAGAGTATCATATCGCTCATGCATCTCACCAGTAACATCGAAACATTAATCATCCATGGAATCGGCACCGATAGCAACGTCAACGGGCTGACCAACACGCCGTTCCCGGTCTACCAGCGGCTGCGCTCATTGACCTGCCTGGAGCCGTCCGAAAACTTCCCAAATGCCATTTTCGACCGCCTCACTGCGCCGACTTTGCACACGTTGCGTCTCCACTCGGTCGACAAAGCCTCCTCCCGAGCCGTGCTATCCCTCCTGCAACGCTCCGGCTGTGAACTTGCAGCGTTCTCCCTCGCAAACCAACCAGAGGATGTGTCCGACCTCGACTCCCTCCTCCGCTCGAAACTATTCCGGCGCGTAAGCACGTTTTCATTCACAGTCGAGTGGGATATGCAAGAAGATGAAGCCGACGACTTCGTGCAGAATCTGGGCCAAGGCATCTGGCTTCCCGGAATGACAACACTCTTCGTCAACCTTCCCGCTTCATACTCAATCGCGCCGTTCATCAACATCGTCGAAACTCGCATGGCCACCGACCAAAGCGATACGAGCGAAGACGAGGAATCGGGCGTCGTCATCAGCAGAGTGTATCATTTGGAGAAGCTCGTGCTTGTTTTTCACCCCAGCACGGTACCGCAGGAGGAGATGGATGACTTGAGGCGTCTGCATCGGGAGCTTGGTGTGCGAGTCGTGATACCCAATGGCTTTCCTTCAGTCCAGACACTGGTCTATAATTAGGCAAATCAAGGATCTAAAACCCCAACGATGCGTTCAAGAAGACAGTTTCTTCATATTCACGAGTACTTACTTCAAGTTTCAATTCGTCTTTAGCTCAGAATATCTTCCCTCTCTTATGATAGCACCGAATTTCTATGGTTCCCGTCAAATTTAGGATCCAGCAGAGTAGATGATAAAAGCATTGGTTATCTCGAGTGGTGTTTGTGTGCGTTTGAATACGAGACTACTCATCATGCCCCGTCCTGTTCCCATCCCTCAACCAGATCCAGCTCCCGCACATCCACCCCCGCAAAGTCCCGACTCTTGATCGCGCGACTGCGGACCTCCGCTGTCTGAAAATACATCCGTGTCAGCGCGAGAGCGTCCTTTGCCTGGAAGTCCGCACATGTCAGATGAAAAGAGCTAACTTGCCAGATGATACTCACGATAACATATATGCCCCAACCCACCGACGTCTGCCACCAAACTGGCTCGTCCTCCGCCCACACTCCGACCCCGCCCAGGAACAGGCCCGCAAATGTTTTAAGCACCACAGTCGCACTCGTTTCCTCCTTGGCATGACCGTTGGCCCGAGGAGCGGCACCCAGCCACGAGCGGCGCAATACCGCGCCGATGGCCCGTGGTAGGACCAGTGCTGAAATGGCATGGACGACATCGTGGGTGAGCGACTTCTGGTCCTTGTGAATGATGCGCGTAGCCAGCAACAACGGGTCCTGGTCGTCGTCTTGAAGGGCAATCACGGCTTGGTCGTTATTTGCATCGTTCGCGGCCCCAGCAGCAGCTCGGCCGCGCCTGCGTCTCGCAGTACCCGGTAGAGTAAAGACACTGCGCACTCGCTCGGTAAGGTACCGTCGAGGCAGCAACGGGGGTGGACGTCCGAGGAGATAGCTTTCCAAACGCGTTCGGAGCGAATTATAGATGGGTTGTATGAGGGATGGGACGAGCAGTCCAATGAGAAGGGGGAGTCGGCGGCCATAGCCGAGGTTTCAGTTGAGGAGGAGAAGGGGAATTCGAGGCAGTCGTCGAGGTTGGTGTTGGGGTCAAAAAACGCGATCCCGTTAGTCTCGCCCCAGTTTCTGTCCGCATAATACCGTAAAGCAGGGCTGGCAGTGCCCCATACAGCGGCGAAACCCATTTCGAGACTGTTCCAGGCAACAAGAGACGGAATGGCAGTGTCGGGAGAGTGATGAAGAGTGAGCGAAGGAGGTCGGAAGTCGTATTGGGTATCATCAGGCGGAATAGGCTGTCATTGGACCCGTCAGTTCCTATGAGAGAATAACGAGCAATGTAACGCACCGCTCCCCAAGATAAGACCTCAAAAACGCCAGTTCGTAAGCCACCATTGCGGACAACACCATAACCCGGCTCTGCAGCCCCAAACTGAGCGGAACGATCTCGAGCATGAGCAGTCCCGTGCCGGTAAACACGGTGTCTACAAGCGTGCCCAGCGTCCGGTAAATCGTGTTGAGGAGGATAACGGCGGTATGCACTCGGGCGGTCAGCGGCTCCGCAAGCTCGTATGGGCGAAGACAACGCGGACAACGGAGCGTTAAGAGGTCAAATATTGTCTGATTTTGGGTGCGCGGGCGGGGGGAGACCGGGAGGGAGGCAGTCCATCGGATAAGACACGATTCATGGGCCAACGGCGCGCAGGTAGGGCATGGATGTACCCAAGGATCTTTTGCGACCGTTTCTTCGAGGCAGATGAAGCATCGTTTCAGCTGATGTCCAGTAAGAGGCGGGGAGCGGAGGGAAGAGAGCTTTACTCTAATGTCGTCGATAGTCGGGACGCGTGGGGTACTCATGTATGCATGAGAGACAGAAGCAAGAATAGAATAGTGTGACCCAGTCCGTGACGTGGCTCAAATTCGCTTCAAATGGCCATCTCCCCGGTCCTCACCATCCCGGCAGAGTTAACGAGCAAGATATTCACAGTAGCTATTTCATTCTCCCTGGCGGACTGTGATCCCGTGATCCTCCGTCTTGCAGCTGTTTGCACACAATGGCGTTCCGTCGCACTCGGAAACGCAACTCTGTGGCGGGCAGTCCCGGTCCACACAGGCAGACGCAACCCTGAACAACTAATGGAATGCTTCAACTCGCGCAGTCGTACACTCCCTCTCGACGTCGCCATTTGGGTCCTGGGAATCCAACATATTCCACGAACTTTATGGGCCTTCTCCTCACGGTGGAGATCGCTCCAGGTGCGCCTCGCCCGTGTAAACGATAATGTGTTCGATAAGGACGCGGGCTACACCAAGAGCGGTCGCGACCTTGAACTGCCGCTTCTCGAAGAGTTGAGCGGCAATATTGTTTTTGCCTGGCACGAAGTTCTTGCGCCAAACCTCCGTCGTCTAACGATGAGCCAACCACACTATGTTGCGCATTCTCGCACCACTCTCCCACTTCACCAACTGACTTTCCTTGAGCTCCACTCTTCTTCCCTGGTTGACAACCTCCTCGTTCTCCTGCGCCTAACGCCCAACCTGACTACGCTTGTTCTCGGAGAGCTCTACACCAGCCTTCACAGGCTGGGACCCACCAACGATATCGGCCCTCTCCCTCTCTATAATAACCTCCACACCCTCGCTGTCCAGCACAGTGACAAACTCCATCTTCTCCTCGATCAGCCACCTGTTTAGCCCACCAGATACTGAGAATTATCAGTGACAACCTGCTAGAATAACACTGATAAGCCACAGTGAATTTTTCGGTTCCCATATAAATGAATAATTATTGAGGAGAGGTATGAATAAATACAAGTACTAAGACCTCGGAGAGCCTACAAGTCATATCTGGTGCAAGTTATCAGTTGCTATATGCTGTGGATAATTGTCAATAATTCTGGGAAATAGAAACTTATATAGTAATAGTTTTGCTATGTGACACATGTGACACATTGTCCCAAACAGGAAATCCTTACTAACGCTTGTGCTAGTCCTAGTTTCAACTTTCAAGACCTGGGATAATCTGATAAATTTCCAAAAAAGGAAATTTTCACGATTTGACAGTATAATCATCAGAGGATGTCACAGATGGTCACAAAATCAAAGTTGTGTATTTTGTCTATACAAACAACTTACATTAAGTAACCTATATTGGCAGCTAAATGGTTGTGTGAGTATTGGCCAATCACTAGTTGATTCACACCAGATGAGATGATATCTTCATAACTAGACAGGGCACAGAGCTGGTTGAAGTACTACTAAGGATGCTCAACTGGAGTGGTCAATATTCCCACCAATACAATACTGTAGCATTTTATTCAATTCGGCGGTCACGCGTCACACCGGCCTTAAAATGCCGAAATTTTTTCGGCGGTCACACTCGACAGCCTAGACGCCGAATTCCCTCGGCTGATGTACCATTTTTGGCTGGCGCGGCCCTGCGGGCCGCGCCGAAATCTGCCCAAAATTTTCGGCGGTCACACTTGGAGCTGCCGGACGCCGAAAATTTCATTTCGGCGCCGATGTCACACCGATTTCGGGCGCCGAATTGAATAAAATGCTACAGTATTCTTAGTATATCCGTACTGCCTAATGATGATAAATGAGACTTTTCGATCTAGCCATATCTTCACCAGTTCTCCATGGATTTAGATGATTGTTGTACTAGTAGGTAGGTGGTCATATTACCCTGATGTGGTCCAATATGAGTATAGTGAAATACCTTTAGACTATACCGTTATACCACTTTTCTGTACTTTTGCTCCTTGAAATTCAATCAAATATAATGATGACTTGATATCTGTCTAAGGAATGTCTGGATAATCATGATCTCAGTTGTATTATGGTCTAATGGATATTCACCATAGCTCACCGACACACACCCATTTTTAGACATCTTATATGTCTGTGTATGTCCCATATATACTATCATCCAAATAGCCTAATAAATCACTCAGAAGTGAAGGATTCCTAAGGGGGTATAGGTAGGAAGCATTGGAAGGTGTCCCATTATGAGATTATACTTCTCACACCATCATATATGCATGTCATCTACTGTTATTCTCCAATATACTGATAACTGCTATTACACATCATATTTGCAATACAGCTATAATCTGCTACTTGATTATAAATCAAAGTATGTGAAATTGAGACAATATGGTATATACACCTAACCATATGCTCTGATTGATTTCTGTATGTTCTTGAAGGATAAATTGAGGAAGATATTCAAACAGAGATTAGGTGCAAAACTGGTTTACATAAATAGCGGGGTCTATACACTGAGTACTGGACATTGAGATGCATATATGAAGGTTTTTTGATGTCTACTAGGACCCTGTACTGTAATTAGTTGTGGTTCTAGCATATGTCCCTAAAGGTGGCTGAAGAGAGGGTAGGTACTCATAGACTAAAAGAGAGTGTCTTTGCTCTTACAACTGGCCAGAAATTAATTTCAAGTATAATTCAAGACTTGAACATAGGATGGTATAGACCCTCCAATGAACCTGTCCAGCACTTAAATCAACCTCATAACTAATCTGGATCTCGCACAGTACTATTATCAGTGTTATCTATTTTAAAGATGATGGGTTCACCATTGCATGAGTCTTAAGAGTCTGAAAAATTTGAGTATATTCACCAGTAGGGGTAAGGTCTACCTCTTAGAAACTGGTGCCCCTGCCCCCTCTAGCATATCTTCATCCTAGGTTATACAGCACCTAAGGTCTTCATGAATTGACTGACCCTAGTATTGGCTGCATGATCACTAATTGGTAGGATGATAGTAGACCATCCTGTGGAACTATATCAACTTAGATCATGACATTATATGCATGGTGTGCCAAAATATCAGCAAAATGCTCATCAACTCAGTATTCCGTCATACTTGGCAGTCAATAGATTGATGTGATGGTACTAGATAAGATAGGTGGATGAATGAAATAGTGATAGGATGGTGTACCCTCCAAATGAGGTCCCTCCAAGCCTTATCCACCCAGGCTAGCTAGAGATCCATGGTTATCTTTCAGGGTTGATGGAGATCAAATACCACTAATAAGTTGCATTCTCAGTATCATATGCACGTGGGATTGGTAATAAACAGGCCTTAGCTTGAATTCTCTGGATATATAAGTCACCTACCCTACAATGTTGAAGTACTATATATTCCCTTTTACATGACTGAATAGCAATTACAGTGCTTATATTCATTTGATAGTGATCAAATATCCTGGTCCATTAATACTACTTTTGGGAACCTTCCTGACTGTACTCAATTCATGTATTTCTCTCAAGTAGTTATTGAGATAGATATTCATTAGTTATACATCAGTTATTTATTGGCTAGTGCTGATGCAAGTAATCATCTGCCACTATAGGCGGCTTAATGAAAGTTATCCATATAGTTAAAATGTACAACTTTGATTTTGTGACAATCTATGACATTTTATGATGATTATACTATCAAAGGGTAAAAACTTCCTTATTTGGAAATTTGTCAGGTCATCACAGGTCTTGTAACTAGTGCAAGTTATTATACGTGGATATTTCCTATTGAGGACCATGTGTCACACAGGTCACATAGCCATATTTGATGGAGCACTATTACTGTACTGTTCCTAGAATTATTGACAATTATCCACAGCATGTAGTGACTGACAACTTGCACCAGATATGACTTGTAGGCTCTCCAAGGTCTTAGTACTTGTATTTATTCATACCTCTCCTCAATGATTATTCATTTGTATGGGAACCTGTAAGGGCAACCTCGCGAGGCTCGAAATCAGAGTCCTGAGCAGAGGGGGAATCCTTAGTGAACTACTACAACAGGAAGGGACGCTACAGACTCACCTGAGCAGAGGGGGAATCCTTAGAGAACAAGCCAAGGAGCCCTCTGCCCAGGTGCACTACTATATACCAGTGACCGGAGTAATGATAGAGTGACTGCATAGCGACGGATGACGGATGGGAGAAGTCAGGCGTCGCTAATGGACCCTAGGTGAGTGTCGAGTAGCCCTTGAAGCTCCGGAGAGGCAGGTTTGGGACCGTGATGCCAAGGGAGGGGCCCAGGCATCCCTAGAAGGCCTAAGAAGGGCTTCGGGAGGTCCAGGCTGCCTCTGGGCGTCTCCGCTTGTGACCGTGACCGTGACAACCGGAATCGGAATCGGAATCGGAATCGACTCCGGGTGTGTGACCGTGACGTGACGGCCGTAAACGGAGAGGGAAGGCGTGGAGCGGAAAGGGAAGGAGTCTGGTCCAGCCCAAGGGCCGGGGAGTGTCGAAGAGGACCAATGGGAATGGCGGCCAGCCATGACCACTGGAGGGTAGCGACAGGGGGTCACTCGGAGACGTCCCCGGACGTCTCCAGAGAGGTGGAGATGTGAGGGCGTGCAGCCTGGGGCGCTGCAGTAGGCACGAGCCTTAACGGCAGTAGGCCTCACCCAGGGGAAGGCCCGATGACGGGGGGCCGTGGTGGCGGAGTGGAGAGCGGAGCCATGGCAAGGCTCAGCCATCCGAACATAAGCCCGAACGCTGACATGGGTTGGGGACACCCAAGAGGTCCAGCAGGTAGAGATCGTAGGGAGACCTTGATAAGTGACAGCCCAGAGAGGCTAGAAGGCCGTAGGCTCAAGGTCTCGGAGGGAAGTGGTGCGTCCACATCCGGAGAGGTCTCCGATGGCATTAGTGATCCCTGATGATGACTCCGCCGGTGGAGAGACTCCCGGAAAGGGGTGGCCAGGGAAGTCGAAGACTGAGGATCACTGGATGTGGGATGTGGTGCGGGCAGTGGAGGGAGAGCGTCAGGGTGCGGAGACGCGGAGACACGAGCGGAGACGCGGAGACGCGAGCGGAGACGCGGCGCTTGATGGGATCAAGTGACGGCATCAGGGTTTCCCCTGACAGAACCGAAAAATTCACTGTGGCTTATCAGTGGTATTCTAGCAGGTTGTCACTGATAATTCTCAGTATCTGGTGGGCTAAACAGGTGCGATCAGCTCACTGCCCCGGCTCTGCACACGCTTCATCTCTGCCATCTAGACGCGGAATCTGCGCGCGCGGTACCCTTGTTCCTCTATCGCTCAAAATGCACAATTCAAACGCTTTCGCTCACCGTTGGTCCACGGGTCTCGTCAAGTGCGGAGCCAGGAGCGAGTCCTTCCCTCTTGCTCATACGCGTACCAGAGATTAGCGGCACAGTCCGCCACTTCAGCCTGATCTTCGACGAGGACCTCCTGCCGGAGGAAACCGCTGCCCTTTGCAGTGATCTTGTGGAGGGCACTCTGTTCCCCCTCCTCCGGAAGCTCAGCCTGGTCATCTCCGACCCACAGCCATTAACAGACCTGAAACAGTACATCGAAGCCCTGGCCACCCGTCCTTCACAATCGTCCATCGAAGTAGAAATTGCACTCTCTCCCGACTCAGGAACGGACCACAACAGCAGGGTCCTGCGGCGTCATCATATCCCAGCTCATGCAGCCCCAACCCAACCACAGCCCTGTTCCACTGTCAGCAGAAAGGCGAGACAGCAGTGCGAATCAACATACCACAGCGGACGGTCCGATTGTTCCTCCGTGTCCCGCTGCCTATGGGCGAAGAGTGCTCAGCTCGGGCAGGGTAATGCGACGGACCACCAAAGCGAATGTTGGCAGCGTATACCCGGCGCCTTCTCCGCTTCCTGACGTGGACAGTGGATAGCGGGCCCGCGCGAATCGCGGCGCGTTTACGTGACAAGCTCTGGCCTAGCGTTCACTGACGCTGGTCGTTCGGACTCGTTCCGGCCATTGACACAGCAGGAATGAGGGGTCAAGCTACTCAGAGTAGCTTGATGTCCAGTGGCAACCCTTGACTGCCTTCCAGAAAAAGTCTGACGATCTGCTGCAGGTTGTTCAGGCGTGTTCGCAGCGGAACTGTCCGCCACAGCGTCGCGTCTCCCAGTGCAATCGATCTCCATGTGCCGCACACAGCGGTCAGACGGACGAGCTCTGGCTCGCCTTTATCAAATCCAGCATTGATAGCTGCGAAAAATATTTTCGATACCAGCTCGGGAGGGAGGGTGGTAACTGGATAAGCAACCGCAGAAAGCTTAGCATCAATGTCTTGTAGTTGTGCCTCAAGCGCGCGATGATTTTGGCTTTGCGCGCACGTAGAGGGGCTGTAGGGTTTGGAGCTACGGCCATATTGGCTGGGGAAGTCGGGAGGCGCATGGCACGTACTTTCGCTCATGGTGGTGCAGAAGAAGTTGGTTTGACGATCGTGCGACTTTCGAAATCCGTGTGTGATGACATCATGATCATAGTGATGACTGATGTCGCTTTGACTTGGTCTGTGGACGACTTAATTATGTTCAAGTTGATCGCATAAGTAATCACGCAGATCGTCTCGTTCCTTCCCTCCGTTCCCCCTCCCCCGCTTTAATCGTCCGCGCTATGGTTCTGCGTGCACACGGGTTACGGTGCAGGACACCACCATTCGATCGCGATACTCTGCTGCTCGTTTTCCAGGCTAGGAAAAATCGCGAGACATCTTCGCCGATGTTCTTCTGGGGGGCGACAACGAGATGGCAGCCACGACGACATATAACTCAGTAGACATTGGATGTACCCAATCTGCCAGTGGATGTGCAGTAGCGTATCTATGTATAGAAGGGCAGGGACTGCTCGCTACCGCATGTAAGCCACCAGTAATATAAGAGAGCAGAGTCATATCCAGAAGATGGAGACCATATCTCAGAATGTGTGAATGTAGAAGGTAGGTAAGGGCGCGTCGAAGGATGACCTAAACAAGCGTGACGACGACGTAGCGGTCGAGGGATGAAGGTATTGTGGGTCTCGGAATGGGTCGTTTGGGTGTACAAGTTTGCAAACTTCACATAGATGGTGAAGCCGGCTGGGCGGATTTGGGGACATTGGGACACTGGGGTGAAACGTAATGTTCGCGGTGGTACGAGGGCCTCATCGGAAAATCCTGCATGCGGCTGTGGCCGCAGAGGTCGTACTACGTTGGGAGTAAATGGATGACCATAGGCCGTATTTCGGTCTGCATGATGGGGAAGGCGATGGCAATCGTGCGATACAGCACATATAGTGCCGTCAAATGACCAGGGTGCGATGAGGGGCGAATGGAGACATTGGGGATGTCATTAACCGCGGCGCAAAAGCGTTAGGAGCGGAGAGTGTCGTGCTCGTTTGTCCATCACGACGACGGAGTCGAAGCCTGGCTCATAGCAGCGCCATACGCGAGTTGTTTTCGCGGGGATTCGGATGATATGTGAGCGGAAAGTGGGATTCTGGGTTGATTCTGGGAGGCTTTGAGTGGGGGGAATGGGGTGTCTGCAGAAGAACATGTATGCCGTCAGTGTCTGAGAAGGACAGCTCCGAGGAGTCCAAGCAGGCAGACCACACACTATCATGCACTCGAGAGCGCCCCATTCTCCCGCTATCTCCTCCCATCCCGCTGGGGTCGACTCCTCCTCGTCGCCCGCTCCAAGTCAAGTCGCTGCCAGTGCCTCTCGCGAGGACTTCAAGCGCCCGTTGCAGCGCTGTATGGGTCCCCAACGGCGCATGCCCACCCACCGCCAGCTGGCTACACCGCAAGCCCACCCGCCTCCCCGCCAACGTCGCGCCGGCATGCACAGCGGGCACGGACGCAGTCGAGCACATCCGAGTCGACGTCGGGACGAAAACGCGATTGACGTGGCACGTGCAGCACCGCATGGTCCGTGCGCGCCACGTCAATCACGCAGATCTTCCCGTTCCTTCCCTTCCGCCTGGTCTTCCGCGCGATTATTGCCGCGATGGTCCTGCTAGCACACCGTAACGGTGCGGTAACCCCGCTTTCGATAGTCTGCGAGCTAACTGTGCTCCTGTTCCAGGCCGGGCAAGCTGACAAGACGCCCGCGTTCTTCGTTGGGGACAACGACACCCGCGATGGCCTCACCTTTGCTGGCAGTAAAGATACTAGGCACGGTCACGATGAGACGGTCGGTTGGTCGGTCGGTTGCCCGGCTGGCGCGGCAACCAGGTAAAAGATCAGAGGATCATTTTACTTAGTTGTCACGCCCTTTCTAGCGTTAGAATACTTATTGACATACAAACTATGTATCCTTGTGCATCTGGCGCAACATCTAAGCTGCAAGGACAATTATCAGCCAAATTAGGCAATCTGTGATTCATCTCCCAGATCAGATTATCATTTATTGCTTGCCTCACTACACCGATGGCGCCGCCCACTCAGCGCGAGATGATTCGGCGCGCAATCCTATACCAATTCCAGCTACGATTGCTCTGCATCGGTGCATGGCGAGCATCCCTTGGTGACAGTGACTCCGAGTCTGATGACTCTGATAACAACTCCAGTGATAGCTCAGATGCTGCAGGGAACATACATCTGACCATGCTGCATACTTTGCAGGCTCTCCTTGACACCACAGCTATCATCCACCGGGTTACTTCCACTCGATATCTTACTCCGCGCCACAATATTATCAAGATGGGCCAACTTGAACTTCTCACTGCCTTCTCGCAGAGTCCCCAAGATCACGAACGCTTTGTGAACATGGTGCGCGTATCGCCCTATGTCTTCAGCTCAATCGTTGCTATGATTGAAAATGATCCTGTCTTCCAAAACAACTCCCCGAATGAGCAAACACCTGTCGACCATCAACTCGCAATAACACTCTATCGGCTGGGTCGGTTTGGGAATGGTGGCTCAATTGAAGATATTGCACGTTTTGCCGGTGTGGGCCACGGATCCGTTCCCCTCTTCACCAACCGTTGCTTTGATGCGATTGAACGTTTGCATCCGATCTTTGTGCGTCCACTCACACGGGATGAGAAGGAGATTGAGAAGAGCTGGATTGACCGACATCTGGGCTTCCATGGGTCATGGCGAGAGGGGTATATCATGTACGATGGTACAATTGTACCATTGTCCGAGAAGCCCACACTAAATGGTCAAGCCTATTTCACGCGGAAAAGCAACTACGGGCTGAATGTGCAGGTACGCTTAACTCTTTCTATTCATACAGCTCTGATTTATAGCAGATTGGCAATGTGCCTTCAAACCTACGAATTGTCGACTATTCGCATGGGTTTACAGGCTCTGCTCATGATGCATCAGCTTTTGAATATACGGCAGCACGAAAACACCCTGAACTTCTGTTTGAAGGAGACGAACATGGATTTGGTGACTCTGCATATGCTCTCTCCGAACATATGATTCCCATGTTTCGGAGTCCCGCTGCAGATCTTCCCGAAAACCACCTATTCTGCTTGACATTATCTCATCTTCGTGTTCGTTCTGAGCACTGCATGGGTGCCCTCAAAGGCCGGTGGCAATCATTCAAAGGCCTGCGACAAAGCATTGCCAAAAATCGACACCACGTTCGGGCATGTCGGTGGATCACGATTGGAATCATCCTTCACAATATTGTTGTTGAGCTTGAAGGCATACCAGAACACGATCCCTTTATTCTACAGGGTGGCGGTAATGACGAGCAGGAGGACATGGCAATGGGGAATGACCTTGTTGAGGGTGAGGCAAAGCGCCAGTGTCTCGTTGATGAGGTCAACACATTTCATCGTCATTAAAAAGTATAGTAGTAAAAAACAAATATACATGAAATAGGTTGTTTAACTAAAGAGTAGATTTAGTCAGAAGCATGGGTAGATGTACCATCTAGAGCGGCAATCTTTTCCAAATACTCTTCTCGTGTCCAGACACCAGCCTAAAATATCGTAAATCCAGCACAAAAAGTCAAAGAAGATGTACCTTGAATTCTTCGAACACAAGTTTACGTTGTTGAATGTCCAGTTTGCGTCGTTTGTGTTGATCAGCTTCGCGTTGCTGTTTTTCGAAGGCCGCAAGTGTCGTCTTAGTCATGTCCATAATCTCTTCCTCGAAACCCCGTTTCTTAGGAACAGTGGTTAGCGAAGAAGCACGGACAAGTGTGCTTTCCCGAGGGCCGCTTCGTGGCGTCACAGCAGGTGGAACGGGAGTCGGAGTGTTGGTAACGTTTGTGAAAACTCGATGTGGTGGCTGCGCGATCTCTGGCGTTTTGGGAGTTTCGGGAAGTCGCATATATGGTGGAAGTTCAGGCTTAAAGTCTGTGTTGCTTGGTTGTGACTGGCTCCAGTCACTGAAAGGCTGCGACAACCCCCAATCCGCTCCTCCACCTGACGACTGTGACCCATCCCAGTCAGCAAGACCAACCGGGGGTTCGTTCTCGAGCCAGTCAGATAGAGAAGCACCTATCTCGGGCATATCTTGACTTGACGATTTAGTTTCTGTTTGCGACACTGCTGGGCGCTCCGCTTGGATGATAGTTGTTCGCTGGCGGCCAGAAGGTGTTATCCCAGTGGTTGCGCAGATGGGGACAAGGTTAGGACGAGTTGACCATAAGCGATAGAGGTCGGGGAAGAAGGGAAAGTCGGCCTTGATAGCATCCCAAATGTTGCATGCATCCTGGGGCGTGTCGTGGTGGGGGCCATCAGCCTCGATGTAGTGCCACTGGGAGTCGTCCTCAGTAAGGCCTTCACCAGTCTTCTTCAGCCTCTTCATGTGCTTTTTGAAGGTATCTGCAAGGCTGTAGCTTGTAAGTCTGCAATAAAATGCGAAAACAAGGACCACACACGCGTCAATTTTCCTCTTCACCCGGTTTGCACCATCTTTCCCTGTCCCCAAACCCAATGCCTCCGATATACGCGTGTGGACCTTGTTCTTTGAGTCCCCAGATGTGTTCTACGCTGTTGGTGAGCCAAAGTTCATCGTAGTTATAACCCTCACCTGGCCAGGCTCTTTACCAAACAGGACCTTGAAGTTGGCGGGCTTGGCCAACTCAGCTATGGAGCCGTAGGTGGAGTTTTTTGACAAGTGTAGCTAGCTATTGCTAGTGAACAACTTGTCAAATCTGGTAGCTTTGCTCAGAGGCTGAAAGTGTCACTTTTGTGACTATATTTTTAATACTTTCTTTAATTACTATTGACCTTATTAGGTAGCTTATCATGATGTAATTGATGGCAGTGAGGCAAAGTCATCCATGTGGAACGATTTTTGATTGCCATCAATGATTTCAATCACTACATCAAGTTACATCATTTTAGTCCTAATTGGGTTTTAGCCTTATTCACTATATACCGGGTCATCGGCCTGAAGAAAAGGAGTTAAAAGTACCATATATAGTGCCTATTAGTCATATGATTAATATCAATATTCAATTAAGTCATTATTTCCAAATTAAGTGCTAGCATTTGTCAAATGTCACTAACTATTGCTAGCCTGCTTATAGCTGGCTTTTTTGACAAGTTTTCTGCTAGCTTTAGCTAGACATTTGTCAAATTGCCCCCTCTACGGGTGAGCTATGAGTCTCTTGACCTCGTCTTCACTCCAGGTCTTGTGTCCCATCGCAGCGAGTCGACGAAATCCGAAGAATTAAAGTAACAAATGTGACACGAGTGACTACTGATGATCCTCTGATCTTTTACCTGGTTGCCGCGCCTGCCGGGCAACCGACCGACCAACCGACCGTCTCATCGTGACCGTGCCTACTAGTAGCGGAGGGCCGACGAACGGACTGGCCAAAGGCGCAAACGGTGCATGGGCTGCTCTGCATCCTGTTGCCTCCGCTGACAAACACCCATATCTGCAGGAAACGCCCGTGGCTAGCAATACAGCGTGGCGCGCGCAGAACAAGCCAGTCACCGTGTGACACTTTCTCATCCTGACACTCATCTCCTGCTCAAAAAACATCGACATCGATGCTAGGCAGCTAAGATGTGGCACGGGTGCGGGAACCATTGTGTCCGGCCCGGCTGTCTGGCTGCCTCGTGAGTCAACACCAGAACGACAATCTCCCGAAGTAATGCGCCGGGCCGTCCTTTCGTGCGTTATATATAACCACTGCTGGCCTTCGGCATTACTGAAACAACACAGGAGCAGCAAAAGATGCACATCGTCTCACTCTTCCTGTCTCTCAGCGCCTTCTTCTTCTTGTATGCAACTGCCTCTCCAGCGCTTCAAGTCCCAACTCCTGTGAGCCTGGCCAAACGGGCTGCACGTACATCCCCGCCTGCTGGGGCAGTTGTCGTTCGGGGGTCTGGTACGCAGAGCGGAGAGTTCAGTACGATACAGGCGGCAGTCAACTCACTGGATGGGTCATCAAGCAAGGTCATATTCATTTATCCCGGCAAGTGCCTTCCTTTCCGAGACCGCATCGACGAATAATGTCATAGGTACATATCACGAGAAGGTCCTCATTACTCGCGCCGGTCCGTTAACCGTTTGTTTCTTCTTCTTCTTCATTTCAGCGGCAGCAACTAATACGCTGGTTAGATTTATGGCTCGACGGCAGACACCTCGTCATACACATCAAACACGGTTACAATCACATTCTCCGACTCTGCAGCGGCGGAAGGGAGCGATGATCCAAGTGGGACGCTGCGTGTGAAGAAGGACAACTTCGCAATGTACAACGTAAATGTGAAGAACACGTTCGGCGTTGGCTCTCAAGCACTCGCTCTGAGCGCATATGGGACAAATCAAGCATATTATGGCGTGCGCCTTTCATTTCCCACTTTCAATCCCTCTCATTAACCTCAGTGTGGCTTTTACGGATACCAAGACACGCTGCTCACCGAGACGGGCAATCAATTCTATGGTGTCTGCTACATCGAAGGCACTGTCGACTTTATTTGGGGGCAACATGCACGGACGTGGATCCAACGAAGTGTTATCGCCTCAACAGCAGCTGGGTCTATCACTGCCGATGGTCCAAGCAGTGCATCCGATAACAGCATATGTGCGTTCTATCGCTATTTGCTTATTTTCTCGTGTCTGTTTGGTCAATCTAATGACTTCAATACATTGACAGTTGTGATCAATTGCTCGAATATCATCCAAAGCTCTGCTGCGACCACTTCTCTCACAGGGAAAGTGTACCTCGGCCGACCATGGACCCAGTGGGCTCGGTGAGTACCTCCTTCAGTTCAGTAAATATGAGGTCAAAACCATAACAGCGTTGTTTACACATCCTGCACGCTCGGCGCGCAGATTAATTCTGCGGGGTGGTCCGTCTGGTCGTCTTCCACGCCAAACACCCGGGAATGTCTTGTTTGCTGAGTATGCCAGCAGCGGTATGTCTTTTGTTTTTCCCCTCAATGCAGACCAACTTATGGTGGTATGGCATTAGGTGCCGGTGCGTCGGGCACACGGGCGTCCTTCTCCAAGAAGCTCTCCTCTAACTCCGGGTATACGGCCGCAGATATATTAGGGAGCAACTGGATATCTTGGGTGGATCAAGCATATATTTGAGCACTGTGATATGATTCCATCTCAGGATGAAAAAATAATTACCAGTGAGATGGGTAACCGGGATGATTAGTTTGTTGGTGTAAGGGCAACCCTGGAGACTCCGACGAAAGCCTAGCAGGGGAGGATCCAAAGCGTGAATAAAAGCTACGGAAATACACGGAGGGACCAACCTAGCAGGGGAGGATCCAAAGAGAAGAAACTCTGAGGGTCCGCCTGCTAGGGCGCCAACTATATACTGGTCGTCCGTAACTGCCGACGTAGAGCGCAGAAGGCCTGAGCGGCGTCGCAGGCTCTGTCCCAAGGTGATCGTTGGGAGGGTCTTGACGGATCGGTGATTGTGCAGGCGAAGGAGGCCGTGGACGATGGTCAGGGTGGGTCGGAGCGTCCGAGGGGGCGCCGGTCGGATGCGCCTCGGACGCGTTCGGAGGGTCCGAAGGAGGCCGAAGCGGGGGTTCCCCTGACAGTTGGCCTCTGATTATTAAAAGGAAAACTAAGGTTGTTTATGTGGTTAAAATACATAACTTTGATTTTTATTAAGGTTGGTGATGCTCCAAGTCCAGTTTAATGCAATTCTTCTTGGCCCCTTTCAGCCAAATGCAGGATAGGTTCAAAACCTACTTTGCAAAACTGAATGCCAAGCTATGGTTCAAAGTGGTTCCAAACCTGCATTTTTCAGGCTAAAATAGCTTAAACTCCTTTGGACCGTCCAAGCGCATCTGAGGTGCATCCGACCAGCGCCCCCTCGGACGCCTCCGACCCATCCCAACCATTGTCCACAGCCTCCTTTGCCCGCACAATCACCGATCCGTCAAGACCCTCCCAACGATCACCTTGGGACAGAGCCTGCGACGCCGCTTAGGCCTTCTGCGCTCTATGTCGGCAGTTACGGACGACCAGTATATAGTTAGCACCCTAGCAGGTGGACCCTTAGAGTTTCTTCTCTTTGTTTGGATCCTTCCCTGCTAGGTCAGTCCCTCTGTGTATTTTCTGTAGCTTTTATTCACGCTTTAGATCCTCCCCTGCTAGGCTTTCATTAGAGTCTCCAGGGTTGCCCTTACAAATGATTTCGACACGGTTTCAAAACCGGTTTCAAAACATATGTGAGTTTTGAAATCTGCAGCCAGCTGACCCGGTTTCAAAACCAACACGTAGGGCATGTAGGCCTTAGGGTTTCATGAACTCATAAATAAAATTAGCACATTCAATCTTCAAAAGCTGTGAAGCAATATTTAAAGCTGGGGAGTAGCCCCAGCCTGTCTAGTATAAAGTTATATGTGTTACCTCCATGAGACTTTATGGTTCGGGTCGGGCCGACAGGCTGTCCACCCCTGCAGGACCATTCGGGCCTGGTGTACCGCCACTCTTCTTAACTTTCTATTCCTCCCACCTCTTTACTTTACCTCTGTGGGCTCTATGCAGTGCCCATCCAATCTGCCCTGAGACCTAGTGCCTGCTCGATCCAATCTCTAATACTTGTCAAACCCTGGGTTTGTAAGGGCAACCCCCCGAGGCTTGAAATCAGAGTCCTGAGCAGAGGGGGAATCCTTAGTGAAACTACTACAACAGGAAGGGACGCTACAGACTCACCTGAGCAGAGGGGGAGAAAAAGCCAAGGAGCCCTCTGCTCAGGTGCACTACTATATACTGGTGACCGGAGTAATGATAGAGTGACTGCATAGCGACGAACGACGCATGAGAGAAGTCAGGTGTCGCTAATGGACCCTAGGTGAGTGTCGAGTAGCCCTCGAAGAGGCAGGTTTGGGACCGTGATGCCAAGGGAAGAGCCCAGGCATCTTTAGAAGGCCCAGGAAGGGCTTCGGGGGGTCCAGACTACCTCTGGGCATCTCCACTTGTGACCGTGACCATAACTGTGACAACCGGAATCGCAATCGGAATCAGAATCAATTCCAGGCGTGTGACCGTGACGTGACGGCCAGAAACAGAGAGGGGGGCATGGAGCAGAGAGGGAAGGAGTTGGGCTAGCCCAAGGGCTGGGGAGTGTCGGAGAGGACCAATGGGAATGGCGGCCAGCCATGACCACTGGAGGGTAGCGACAGGAGGGTCACTCGGAGACGTCCCCGGACGTCTCCAGAGAGGTGGAGGTGTGAGGGCGTGCAGCCTGGGGGCGCTGTAGTAGGCACGAGCCTTAACAGCAGGAGGCCTCACCCAAAGGAAGACCCGATGACGGGGGCCGTGGTGGCGGAGTGGGGAGCGGAGCCATGGTGAGGCTCAGCCATCCGAACGTAGGCCCGAATGCTGACATAGGTTGGGGACACCCAAGAGGTCCCCAGGTAGAGGTTGCAGGGAGACCTCGATGACCGACAGCCCAGAGAGGCTATAAGGCCATAGGCTTGAGGTCTCAGACGAAAGTGGTGCGTCCACATCCGGAGAGACTCCCAGAAAGGGGTGGTCATGGGAGTCAGAGGCTGGGGACCACTGGATGCGGGATGTGGTGGGAGAAGTGGAGGAGGAGCGTCAGGGTGCAGGAATACAGAGACTCGGATAGAGACACGGAGAGCGAGTGGAGACGCGGAGCAACCATGATCTGTTAGTTGATTATAGATCAAAATGTGTCAAGTTCAGTCAATGAGGTATATAAAGATATCCATGTACTCTGATTGGTCTCTATATATTCTTAGAGGATGAATTAAGGTGAACATTCCAAGACAGGTTGAGTGCAGAACTGGTTTACACCAATAGTAGGGTCTATAGACTGAGTACTGGACATTGAGATGCATGTATGGGGGTATTTGAATGTGTACTAAGACCCTCTACTGTAATTACTTGTGGTTCAGGTATGTGTCACCAGAGGTAGCTGAAGAGGGGGTAGGTACCCATAGAGCAAAAGATAGTGTCTTCGCTATTACAACTGGTCAGAAATTAATTTCAAGTATAATCCAAGACATGAAGGTAGGATGGTATAGACCTCCAAATGAACCTGTCCAGCACTTGAATCAACCTCATAGCCATTCTGGATCCCTCCCAGTACCATTATCAGTGTTATCTATTCCAAAGATGATGGGTTGGCCATGGCATGGCCTTTATGAGTCTGAGAAATCTAAGTATATCTACGAGTAGGGGCATGATCCAGCTCCCAGAAAGTGGTGCCCCTGCCTCTGTAGCCCATCTTCATCCTGTGTTATATGACACCTAAGGCCTCCAAGAATTGACTTGCTCTAACACTTGTGGTATGATCACAAATGGGTGGGATTATAGTGGACCATCATATGTCACTATATCAACTTAGATCATGGGACTCTATGGATGTAGTCCCAAGATATCAGCAAAATACTCCCTAGCTCAATATTAAATCATACTTGGCAGTCAATAGGTTGATGTCATGGCACCAAATGATATGACTAGATGAAAAAGATAATGTTAGGGTGCTATACCCTTCAAATGAGCACTCTCCCAACTTTATCTGCCCTAACTAGCTAGAGATCCATAGTTATCTTGCAGGGTTGATGAAGATCAAATACTACTGATGTGTGGTACATTGCATTACTAGTATCATATTCACTCAGAATCTGAAGCTGAAATACCAGAGCCCTGGTGTGGAGTATGTGAACATAGGAGTCACCTACCACACATTAGTTTAAGTACCAGATATTCATACTATAGTGATTAAAGACCATTGTCAATTAATGGTACTGGTCAAAAACTTCCTGGTAGTACTTGAATCATGTGTTTACCTCAAGTAGTTATAAAGATAGAGGCTCATCAGTTGTAGCTCAGCTAGTAATTGACTAGTGCTGGCATAACTATTCAACTGGCAGTGTAGGTGACTTAATGAAAGTTGTTTGTATATGCAAAATATACAACTTTGATTTTGTGACGATCTGTGACATTCCCTGATGATTGTACTGTTAAATGGCGAAAATTTCCTTTTTGGGAAATTTGTCACGACTGTGACACGGTGTAATGGCACTGAACTCAGGCCAAGTCTCTCAGGTCTTTAATTATTCATCATTATTCATTCCCTGCTAATTATCTCATTAGTATATAGACTTTAAGGATATTATTCAAATTATTTATACCATATAGACCACTGACAAGCCTACAATGTATTGGACATAGTCAAAAATCAGCTGAAGAACTTGAAAAACTTATAATTATTCATTCCTTTATCCATAGATTATTCATTTCTATGAGAACCATGCAAATTTGTGTTGCTTCACAGTGTTACCACGCTGGGTCAACACTGCGAATTGACAGTCATTTTTGGGACAAACAGGTGCTTAGCTAAGTTAGGAAAGATACATAAGATCTTAGGGACCTTTTATAAGATCTTCCAAAAGACATATAAGATGCATCTCATCTTAGAGAGAGTCTAATTCATCTTAGAAGACACTTAGAAAAGATGCATAAGAGCTTATGGAACTTTCATAAGATCTTACAAAAGACACACAACATATATAAGATGCTCTAAGATCTTAAATAAGTTCATAAGTGAAATAAGGTGATATAAGATCTTCTCTAAGACCCCTCTAAGATCTTGTCATTTTCCTGATGCCGGGCGGCCTCTGGCTCAAGCGGCGGCTCGTTGGTCGAAGACAGGTGGTCCAAGTTCGTCATGGAAGGAGGAGTGTCACCACGAATGTCACGTCTGCAACAGCCGCTGAGGGTGATTGATTCATCTGTGTCTGAGATATGCCCTGCGTAAAGCCGTGATTGCAGTGCTGCCGGTGATCAGGGGATTCAGGGCTGCACTACGGATGTGTCAAATGAATATGGCATAGTACGGACAGCGGTTTCTCGCTGTCAAACTCTCCAAGCTGCAAGCACTGAGCGGAAACCCATCTGTTGAAGTGAGTAGAGCATCAATGACATGTACTTGTGGAGCGGTAGTGGTAGTATTTAGCCTAAATCCAGACAGCTATGGGTGACTTGTGGCGACGCACTCGTCCAAGCCCGAACTTCAAGACAAAACGACATTGAACCGGCTTCGACTCGGAGCCCCTTGGGAATAACGCTCCAAGCCGAATGAACTCGCATTGCCCCCATCCAATCCGCTCTCGGGAATCAGAGACGGGCCGACAGCAGCGTGCCACCTGCAAAGCGCGGGCCAGGGTAAATGTAATGCCGCAGACGCGGAGGCCCGGGCCGCGGAGGAATAGCACGCGCTGGATGCGTCAGGATCCCGCGTGCGACGGGAGGCTCAAAATGGAGCGTTGGTGCGAGTGGAAGAGAAGGACTTCAAGCATCAGTAAAACTACAGGTTGGTCTTGGAGATCTTTGGTCTTTGAAACAGATCTTTGGTCTTGGAAATAGGTCTTTAGCAGTCTTGGTCTTGGGGAGGATGATCTTTGGTCTTGGGCCATGGTCTTTGGAAATGTTTTGGTCTTTATAAGTTATGCACAAGAAAAATGAATTGGTCTGGAGATAAAGTTGGCTATTGCATCAATACATTTGAGAGCATTCCTTAATAGTTTCTCCAAAAGTTGTATAGACAGAGACATGCTAATTATCATGCTGAATGGCTCTATGGTGAAGCAGGGCATTGGAGCAATAGAGGGGATAGAGGGCCTGTTCCCCACTCCCAAGAGCTACATTGGTTTTGTCACTACTGCCAATCAAGAGAGTGCTCCCAGACTTTGCTTCACTTGTAGTGCCAGTAGTAGAGTCACCCTATAAGACCAGTCAGACTAGGGTGACCAAGAGAAAAGGACATACAGTTTGATGCCAGGCCCACTGGCATGGGCCCAATACAAAGTTCTGGTCAATGTGTCCATTGGTTTTGTTGTGGTCACTGGTGGAGGACATGAAAGTTCGACGGGAAAAGGAATGACAAGTCATTCCGGGGATAGTCGGCTACTCCGGGCATCCAAGCCGTGGCCCAGCGTAACGACGGAGCTTCTGCTGATCATCAGCACATGGTGACGTGACGTCCGTGACCGGTTTTTCGCCACTCTTCCCTCTCTCCCACCACTTCCCTCTCAATCCCCCCCCATACACAGGCCGGCGCTTACACTACGGTGGCTGCGACATGACCCCCCCGATGCTGAAGGACATTCACTGGCTGAGAATCTAGCGCCTTGCAGCTATTTCTCGTGTGCGGCGCTATTTGCTCTTCCCTCAGAATGCTTCGCGCTGACCTCCTACCAGTGTATATTCTTCCCTGCCCCAGACATATGGTATGTCGGCAAAACACCGCTTAGACGCCCTCTGACACTCCCTACCGCAGCTGCTGTGTTCTCCTGGTGTGCTCAAGCTCCTCCTACCGCCGACGGCTGCATCAGGTGCGTGTCCTGCTGTGACGTGCCCATACTTTTAACGCAACCACCGAGGTCAGGCCCGCTGCTCACGCAGGTCGGGGACATTGTCAACCCTGCTGTCGCGCAGATCGCCGCGCTCGCCGGCCAGCCCGTGAGCGCCATCCTCGCATCGGCCGAGGGCATCGTTGACGCGACTGGCGTCACAAAGCTCATCCAGCCGGTCCTCGCCACCACACCGGCGCGCTCAACTCGGTGCTCGCCATCGCCAACTGGGTGCCGTTGCCGTCCTCCTAGCCGCTCCTCGCCTAGTGCTTGGTTTCACGATGGCGCAATTGCGGTCGCGCTTGCTGCGGGCCATCGGAAAGACTGCCGCGGTCAGTTCCAGTATTGCTCGCGCTCATTATTATCACTGACCACCAAACAGAAGGCCTTGTTTTACCCAAGACTGTCGTTCACGGTGATGAACTAGGCGCTGTTGGGTACCCTGTGGACGGTAACGAGGGCCGATGCAGCCTGTCGTAGAGCACTGAAATGTGCCGAGAGCACGGACTGCAGCGCCGATAGTATGTCATTTACCCATATAGAATATATTGGTTGTATAGTAGCGTGCAATATATGAGCTTTTTAACTCACATATGGTCTTGAGACTTCTAATAAATATCTTTGGCAAGCTATTTACAATCTTGGGTAAAGACCAACTAGGTCTTGGTAAGACCATTTTGGTCTTGGGAAAGATTCCCAAGACAATTGAATCTGCTTAGCCCAAGACCGCAGTCTTAGGCGTCTTTGAGGTCTTAGGCATCTTTGGGATCTTGCCCAAGATCCCAAAGATGCCTAAGACCGAGGTGGGCAAGATCCCAAAGATGCCTAAGACCGAGGTGTAGTTTTACTGATGAGAGTCACAAGAACGTTGAGTCACATCACGTTCTGCCACGTGGCGGGTGACATCACGCAGAGTCGGCGGCTTTCCTCAGCGTTTGATCTCCATCACAACCTACCGGCCAGTTGATAGCAGGCAAGCTGGTGCACGGGCTACGCCTTGTCCATAGGCACTCGGTACGTCGATGTCATCTCGGCGCACGCATCAATCTATCCACATGGGTTGCACAGCCACATTCATATCCTTGCTTCCTGCCACATCATCGCGCGCCTGTGCGCTTTTTCTGGGTTGGGTACGCGCTAATCTGTCCAGCGAGCGAGGATGAAGGGCTGACGGCAGACAGCTCGTTGATTACCTGCGTTTGAGTGTGGTCTGTGGAGCTTAAGGCGATAGCGCGTCTTGCTGGCTGGTAAAAACCGCGCTGTCCCAGTCGCAGGCTTTACAGCGTACCTACCCAACGATGTCGGGTCCATTCGTCTACGTCCCCGAGGCCGAGCACGCCGCGGCGGACGGCTACGCAGCGTATGCCTATCCGTACGCACAAGCGACCCCGCCACTGGGCTATACTCCATTCGTCCCGCCTTCGCCCGCTCTCTCCGCTGCGTCTGCCACCTCCCATCACCACCCCGGGTCCCGTTCACCGTCGCTGTCCGTGAATTCCACCCCGGCATACGGCCCGGGACCGTGGTCCCCGCTCGGCCCCCGCCCCCGGACAAACTCCTGGGCCGCCCCGCCCACCGCCGGCGCTAAAGCCAAAGCTGCTGCACCCGGATCAATTGCCCTCAGCGCTAGCGCGGGCGGGTCGCCGACGCTCAAATCTGCGCTGCTGCACCCCAGCGCGCTCTTGCGTCCGGGCCACAAGAAGGCCAAGTCCTCCGGCAACGTCACATTCGCGCCATCTCCGCTTGTTGCCGGCCTGACCCACCCGTGGCTCGACGCAGGTGTCCACTCGTCGCCGGCGTTCGCCGCGGCACCACCCTTCCGCTTCGACCTCTCCATCGCAGCCTTCGCGCCGGAACGCGCCGGCAGCCGGCCCGGAGAGCCGACGTGGACGCCGCTCGGTGCGGCGGAGTTCGCGGCCGAAGCGTTCTACCCCGCGCGCTACGAGCTGCGCATCACGCACGAGGCGCTCCCGTGGCCTGTCGTGTTGCGCTTGGAGGATAAGAAGAGCAATAAGGGCCGCCGGCCGGCAAAGGAGAAGGACGATAGACACGGGAACGATCACGGGACACCCACCGCGCCGCCGCCGCCCATCACGCTCGGCGACGTGCTCGCGGCGCTGCACCACACGCTGCACGTGCTCATCACTGCGGCGGAGTGGGCCGCGCTCCCGCCGGCACGCAAAGCGCAGGTGTCCGCCGCGTTCACTGCGCGCTGCCGCGCCGAGGCGGTCCGCAGCGGCGCGTCCACGGCGGAGCTGCACGACCAGGAACAGGCGGAGCGCGCAAAGGGCCTGCGCAGGGTCGACTTCCTTGCTGGACAAACCTCGTTCCGCGGCCTGCGGGCGAGGGAGGGCGAGGGAAATAAGGATGGGGTGTTTGAATTGGTGACTCGCCTAAAAGATGTGTAGTATCCATGAGCTTGTCCAGGTCATGTTGTTTGTTAGATCTTGTAATACCTGTTCAAGTTCAGCCACATGTTGGAATCAAAATATGACTTGAACCACTTGTATTCTCAGGCTTTAACTTACCAGTCTGACCATTGAGATGTTTCATGTGACTTGTAGGTTCTCTGTAAGGGCAACCGCGGAGGCTTCAATGTGACTCCAACATGAGTCCTAGCAGGGGGAATTCACAACAATATAGTTCTAATACTATTTGAACCAGGTCAGCCCTAAAGTAACAAACTTGTTATTTTGTGAGTATTTCATGTTCTGTGAGTCAACTATTATAAATTTTGAATAGGTTTGAACTGAACCTTACTCAATCAATGAAGCTCTACTACCATGTGCAATATGAAGTCATTTGGTTGACTTTGAATTTTACCGTCAATTCAATAAACCTTGACTTGTAGTGAAAGTCTGTGATTTTGTAGTCAAGCATATCAGGGTTGAAACCAAGTTTGTATAGAGGTTTGAAATACCTTTCTGACCATATCTGACTTGATGAACAGCCCAGAAACCATCAAGTAATTGGATTAACTTGTTAATCTAATGGTCAAAATGTATTTTATAATAAAGGTCTGTGGTTTGTATACAATGAACTTTATGTTACTAGTAAATACCAGTATGTAGGCCTATTGAACACCTTCCTGCTCACATATCATATGTTAGGAAGGGATAAGAACTTATTGAGATATGACCCTACCACTGTTTTGAAAACTCAGGATTGGGTCAGTAACTTGCATTTTCTAACTCACCATTGACTTTGAAGCCTAAATCTAAACTGAATAGTAATATGTATTAAGGGTTCCTACAATCTGGTAACATTTATTAGAAAGTTTGTGTAAAGTCATTACAAAGTTGTTATCCCATTCACGCTAATTATGTATTTAAATATGTAGCTGGAAACTGAACTTGTAGGGTCTACCTGGAGGTCAGACCCTTAGGGTTAACTTAAGGGTTGACCCTCAAGCCACTGATATACATATAATATCTCTTATAATTTCTCCAATATATATATACTGATAGTTTTAATCACAATTTTTGGCATAAATAAATTTGAGATTTCAACTATCTATAGGACTGAAACCATCCCTGAAATGGTTCATATCTGCACACATATATTTGGTTGTGATATCATATACATCAAATGTGGTGAAACTGACAGTGAAACAAAGGATTTCACTGACAGTTTCAGCATAGATGATACAAAAGAAATCAGCAGTAGAGAAATGCATATAGATTCTCTTTGTTTCTATTTGTATTTCTCCACTGCTGAAACTGTAGGTTTACAGTACAATGAAATCATTGTTGAAATCTCAAATTTATTAAAATTATCATAATTTTCATCTCAGACTGCCTAAAACTTGTATATATTTAACTAAAATCATTATCAGTTTCAAAAAGGTATATTTTGGGCAAATTTCCACAGGTTGATTTGGTTCTAGATTCTGGAAGAATCTAAAACAGTTTCTCCTTCAAGAGAGATTTTACCAAATCCAGTGTGATTCACCTGAGGCATGTGCTATAGCATAGGCTGCCTAATGCTTTATGGGCATCCAACTCACCCTTGGTGGATTGGCCTCATAGTTGCCCTGAGGCTTGATTTTAATATAGATTGATTATATTTACAAGAAAATTGCCAATAAGACCTATCTTGCTTGATTTTTATGCATTTTCAGATAGACTCATGTATATATGAAATGCAGCTATATGCTGGTTGTTTGCAATTAACTGCCAAAAACATGAAATCACATTCTTTCTTTGTTTTTAGGTTGTGTTATGGCACACACTTGACCCATTGCTCAATCAAGCTATTGTTGCACCCTGTCTACATGTAATAAAATTAGTGTCAATGATAGACAGAGAGTGCTGGGGGGTCTCTATACTACCCTGTTGGGACAAATGTAGGTAGCTGCTTTTTCTAGGCTGATCACTGATGACAGTGGCACATTTAATATCATCATCAATTTCTGATAACATCATAATCTCCACCACATTACACCAACCAAGACCAAACAAAGGTCTAGCACAGTCTTACCATACTTGGTTAGATGATATCATCCATCAATCCATCAATAACTCAGACTGAGTCAGAGTGAGTCATTATTAGTCAACCCAGAATTAGTGTATAAAGAGAATGCTGGTGAGCTTCTGTCCCCAGTGCTTTTATCTCTTTTCCCTCCTACCTTTTGGGAAATAGTCATCTGGTTGTATCATACCTGTTGAAGTATAGCACAGCTGGCCATATAGCCAGTGTGGTGCGCCTTATCTAGAGGCGCATGTAATGCTTCCCCCTTTTATTTCTCCTTACTACCATTACTTACTTGATCAAGCTTATATACTTCACATACCTAGGAGCACTGCCTTAGTCATTCACATTCAAGTGCCCCGACTGAGGTATATGTTTCGTATTCACATTATTGCCTTCTATACTCATTTACATACTTCAGTACTATTTCTACAGGTACATAGTTGAATCTCAGTCGTTCATATTCAAGTGCCCCAACTGAGTACTATTTCCACAATAGCTATCAATACAACTTGATCTCATCATCAATCACTACAAAGTTAGATTATTTGATCATTCATTAAGTTGGGCCATCATTTTGTTTGTGACAGTTGCTTATTTTAAGTTGGCAGGCAGTGAGGAAACCTGTCAGGGGAACCTCCCTTTCGGCCCGGAGACGCGCCCGATTCTGGTCCGATTCCGGTTCCGACTCCGGTCCGGCCCTCCATCTCGCCCGCACAATCACCGATCCGTCAACGCCCTCCCGACAGTCGCCCTGGGACCTTGCCTGCGACGCCGCCCAAGCCTTCTGTGCCCGACAGCGGCAGCTACGGACAAGCAGTATATAGTCAGCTACCTAGCAGGCGGACCCTCAGAGTTTCTTCTCTTTGGATCCTCCCCTGCTAGGACCTTGATCTCAGGCCTCCGGGGTTGCCCTTACAAAACCACTGTTGATAAACTTGAGCCTATAAAAATCAACATAGAATATTATTGGCTTGGTTGCACAAGGAATCCTCAACTACATTCCCTATTTTAGTGAATTCTATTTCTGGCCTAGAGACTAAAACCGGCCTACCTATATATTCAATTTTGCATAAGTCAAAAGGGAGACTAGAAGTACAGAGACCACACTTAATAATATAACTCATATTGAGCAAATAACTTGAAGCAAGTATTTCTACCATGTACATATCCATAAGTATTCCAAGATAAGAAATCCAGTCCAATCAATTTGCACAGACTCACTCCAGGGTTATCGCCAAAAAACGGCCCCCGAAGGAGGGCTTATTTGTAACAAATGCGGGTACAAAACAATAGAGCCAATTTTCACACAAATCAAGGGCCCTGATTTGACTGCATGTGACCGGGAATTACCTTATTTGGTAATTTGCGAGTCACATCAGGGGCCTGGACTTGAGTCCAATCAGGCAACCATTTTTGGCAGCAACTTTCCTATAAATAAATCCGGCTTGGGGCCACTGTTTTTGTGGGAATCCCCAGTGTAACTTGAACATGGATGATATTACTTAATGAAGTTCTATTATCCCAGGCCCACTAGAGTACTCCCATATATGTACAATAAAATAGCCTTTTTTGAATATTGCATTTGCATATCTTTTTAGATATCCCACTTTCAAACCTTTTTGAGATTATTTTTCCCAAAAAGGAATATGTATGTATATATTTTAGACTATTATATTGTTCAGACTCAATGCTAGTGAAATGCCAATGAAAGGTGTTCTTTGTAAACCAATTTCTTGTTTACTCTCAGTTCCAGCAAACAATCATCTATGTAAACGGTGAATTCATGGGACGCCGGCGGCGTCAAGTTGATCCAGACCTCCCACGCACAAGGCTATCGCAAAACTCGCGCTCGGCGCCCGTCATTATATTTGCTGTCCCAGATGCCACCGTCTGTGAGTATCATTAGCAGCTATGTACTAGTAGCTATTGCGCCCGCGTCGAGGGAGGCCTTCGCGCTTGGATTGGACGACAGGATGTGGGGCCGTGCGCAGTAAACAAGCGTGAGTGTGGGCAGGCCCGGCTGCTGAGCGCTTATCCAAGTAGTAGGCAAGGTACACCACTGAGGAGGGATAGTTAGTAGATGGGTGGGTACTAATTCTAGTACTAAATATAGTGCTAACAACGTAAAAACAGCACTATAATCCGATATTCAATGCTGGTCACAGAAATCAACTTCAAGGACTTGGGACAAACCTGAGATCTATGGCCTGCGGATAGGGCTCTCCTTCTCATCCGGCTGTTCTCCCGTTCCCAACGATGCGACTCCTCGACAGCAGCCGCGACCATTTTCGGAGAATCCGTCTCACGCCGTCAATCGTGGCTTCGATCAATTCCCTCGGACGTTACACTCGACGTGCCTCTCGCTTTCTCGTCTGCACCACCACGACGAGTCCACGGGGACGACCACAGCCAAGGGCTGACGGCTTGGGCTTTAGCCCCCGCAGAACCAGAGCTTTCGCTGCACCCGTCTTCTACCTCACTCGAGCTCAGGAGGCTCTGACCAGTTGGTGGCGATGGCGACGGGAACCACTGGCAGTATCATGATGACGATGGCCAGTCCTTCTGCCTCTGCGACGGACTGCCCGACAGGGCCGGGGACATGCGGTAGTGCACCCCCAGCAACGCTCTATCGTGAGTTTCTCTGTGTTTTTTCTCCTTCACCAACCCTGACTGTGCAGTCTACACTTTCCTCTCGACGCTTGTCATTATCGCTGCCGTCTCAGGCGGAATCGTCATGCGCACGATCCATATTCGCCGGCGGCAGAACGAATTATGGGCGAACAACAACCACCAACGGCGACGCGTCGGCGAGCCACGCGTGAAGACACCGCGCCCAATGATGTTTGAGGCGTATATCGAGTGTCCAGTTGCAGTCGATTGGACAACACAGCGAGGGGCAGAGAACTATGCGGACGGAAGGCAGTGGGCCGAGATGAAAGTGCGTGTTCCACATTGAGTTTTTGGCCTTGGATATCGACAAATACTTTTCTGTTCAGCCGTGCTCCGCCGAAAAGATTATGCCATCTAAAGGCGGCACATCCGTCGCGACTGTTGCCCTTCTCATCTCCATGCCTTCAGCCCCGCGCATCCAAGTTGTAGATGCACTAGCAACCAAGGGCCCGGAGCCCAATGAAGACGATGAGCAACAACCGGTGCCATATCTCGAGTTTGGTGTCATTCAAGTACAATACACGGACGATGTCCCAGACGCAGCGGAGAAAGATAGACCACCAGATGACACTACTAGCACGGAGAGTCCGAGTCCCGCAGGATGATCATGATTTGAATATGTTTTCCTGTTTTCTGTACCGAGTCACGTATCCCGTTGTTTTCGAGGAGGTGCCAGGAAGTGCCCAACACATTTCCCGCTCTTCTTCGAAAAGTAGTTTGCAATCATGCACCTGGAGCGCTGCCGACCGACCCATAATCGAATCCTTCCCCTGAAACTCTCACGCATCGAGAATGTAAATCGGTAATAAAAGCATTCGGCCAGCCGAGGTTCGTGCGACAACACCGGTCTCCAAACTGGTCCCGGACAGATCTGCCGTGTCAGACCTCATGGTCGGCATGCGGGCGGCTTCTTGACCGCGCTGATACCTCTGATCGGCGATCCACGAAGGCCACGGAAGTGTCGGCGCCTACGCACCCCGCTCGGCACTTGCTCTCCGCCGTCTGCGAAGATGGCTGGAGCGCATACGACTGGCTGCACACCCTCTACAGCAGTTCCGGTAGCGCACACGAGTCATAGGAATAAATCACAACAGGAAAATGTAGATATCGATTCAGGAATCAAGTCATGAACATGTATTCATCCATGGGCTCCCAGATACACATTCTCAGAGATAACAAATCATATTACAGCAAAACAGGAGGAAGCATGGTGGGCAATTACAAGATAGACAGACATTCATATCATCACAATTCGTTTACCAGTTCTCCCAGCTTTCGATGCTCGCTGACTTCTGTTGCTTGTGCCGCGAGTGATGCCCGCGGCGGGACTCGGTCGGATATGTGCATATGCGTCTGCGTTTGCTGCATTGACTGCGGTTGTCCAGTTAGCTATCCAATGGAACAGATTGTGTGAGTGGAAACGCACTTGCATGTCTGGTCGACGCCCTCTGAGTCGTCGGCCGGCCGCTTGCAGCTGATCTTGCGCTCGCGGCAGAACAGGCACGCCAGCGGCTGCTTTCTGAGCCCCTTCTTCGCGTCATCACCAGCACGGTCCGCAGGTTTCTTGAACTCCGTTGGCCACGAGCGCATATCCAACAGACTCGGACCCTTCGACCGTGGAGGCGGCGGCAACGGGGAAAAGGCTGCCTGATAGTGTGGCGAGTCAGGCTCCATGTTTGGAAGGGGTGTTATGATCTGTGTGTCGTACTGATTCGGCTCAGTCTCCGTGTACATCTGCGTCATGGACGAGCCGTAGCTGTGCAGCGAAATGTCTGTAGAGGTATGATAGCCCCAGGCATTTCCTTTATTATTGCTGAAGGTTGGTGGCTAGAGTGACCGTTATTTGGCGCGGCAATACCACAGAAGAGCAGCGCACCTGAAGCTCGTAGACAAAAGCGTCGGCGGCAAGGACATTCTGAGAATGGTCCAAGTGTTCAACTGGATGGCGGGCATCGTACATAGGAGGTGGCGCAAACAACTATGAATCGGAGATCAAAACCCTCATAACAGCTATCAGGTCAAGGGCGTACCAGAGAATTCTCCCAGGAGTCTGTACTGGCAGTCGACGAGTTTGAGGAGAAAGACGGGCGGCGAGCGGCAGACGACATGGAGTAGAGGGGTGGGGTGACAGGCCATGACTACAGCACAGACGTTTATATACCTCTGCTTGTGTGGACGTGAGGCGTGGGGAAACGAGATAACTGCACTGTCAGCAGCAAGCTCGCCGATCAGGGAGAAGCGGCCCCCGCGTCGAGCCGGCGCACAGATCCAGCCGCCGGCGCAGGTGTAGGCGCTAGCTGAGGCCTCTCCGCGCGGCGTAGGCATGTGCCCCAGGGACCCACAGATCTATCAGATCTGTCACACTTCGACCCTTCTTCGACTTCGGCGGCATTATAGAGCGAAAAAAGCGTATTCATGTTTTGTGCGCAGGTTCGAAGACGCCGCTAGCGGGCTACACTAATTGGCCGCTGCAGCCGCTGCAGTGCCGCAGCAGTGCCGCTACAGTGCCGCGTCAGTGCTGCAGCACTGCTGCGCTGCTGGTGAGATGGCCGCTGCACTGCTGCTCGATTATGTTCTACAAGGGGATGCTGGTCAGCAATAGTTTCAGCACAGAACCTACTGTAGATCTAGCATACATGGTTGTACCCCACAACTTGAAATTCTTGGCAATATTTTCATCTATATAGACCCAACTCCTCGGTGAGATTCCCATTCACCCTGCTGAGTGCGAAAGTCACTGCAGTTACTAGGATGTACACTCTGCCCAAAAAGGAAAATTTTGAATAACATGTTACATTTCAAGAGCCTAGACCTAACTCCCCTGGAAGCCCAGTGAGCTAAGAGGGGTAGCTTTACACTTACTCACCCAATTTCAGCAAATTCTAACACTGGATACAGAAGCAACTCTTGGTGCACTCTTCCCAAAATGGAAACTTGCATTTATATCTTATGACTTTGAATATAGAGGATGGCACCCAAATGTCATGTGGAAGATGGATGCCACAGGTATGGTTTGCCACAGGTATGGTTTGCCCACAAATTCTCACTGTCTGTGATGCTTTAGCACAGTAAATAATTTCCTTTTTTGTGCTTGCTTTTTATCCCGCCTTATCCGGCTTGTTGCTGTCACTTTCTTCAGTGCATGTATGGCTACCCGCGGGTAGGTGGCTGTGCGGGTACGGGTACGGGTATGCCCTCGGATACCCGTGGGTATACCCGTGTGTAGCGGCAGTGTGACGGTACCGCTGGGTGCCGCACCACTGCCGCACCACTGCCGCAGCATAACTGCTGCACTGCTGCTGCACGACTGCTGCACTGCCGCTGCAGGTCCGATGTCAGCAGCGGCAGTCGGATGCGGCAGTCAGCATCTACCGCTGCAAAGTGCCGCTGGGGCCGCGTCAGAGCCGTCAGCGGCTGTTTACTATTGTTTGTACCAAGTTTGATGAGGCATTTTGGTAGCATTCAAACACAACTTTACTCCATTCTAGCTGTTGATACAAGTGCAAATTGAATGATATCATTGAAAATGTAGCCCAGTTCAAGGATGTAATGTGTTTGAAAAGTATACTTGAGTTCCCGCTCCCGGTGGCAGTGCGAAGTGCCGCTGCAGCGGCTGCAGCGGCTGCTGCGGCAGTGCTGCGGCCGATTCGCGTACCCGCGCCGCTAGCTTATCGCCGAGTCGAGTTGTGGCCTAGTATGGGTACTCATCGTGTGCCGTGCCCAAAAGGGAGATGAGAGTGTGTTTGCGGTGAGAGTTGTGTGTTTTGCATAGGTAAGTGAACAAACCCAAAGAATGACATCGCCCTGGACACTGGCAGCCACGATAGAGATACTTCCGAATTGACGGAGAAGTACCTCGCCTGAGGCGATCCGCGCTGCAAGGATCACTCCAGCGCGGGATCGTCCTGTCAAAGCTTAATCGGAGCTGAAGTCCAAGTCCGCGCCATATGCCCTTTATCGTGAGCCTTTCGGGTTGCCGGGTAGCAAGCGTCACCGTTTCGCGGATGCGATTGACAACGACCCGGAATTCGGGACCAGAAAGGAGGATGCGTTTGAGTGGTTGAGTGACATTATTCGCATGCCGGCGCCGGTGTCCGGGTGACTCGGGCCAAAAGCTGTGCGAGCTCGGACTGGAAATTGCCGTTATAATTAAGCTGCTGGCAGAACGCTGGAAGTGATTTCCGCCCAGCCGCGAACCGTGACGTCGAGAAGGACGACGCATGACTCCTAAGATGGGGGATGCGGTGGGCGGGGAGCAGCTCTGATATGCAGACCACGTCGCCGTTGCAACTGCACAGTCTGCACGTGAACACTGAAGCTATGTGATTGGAAGCTCCGAATCCCGGCCTGGCGCCTCCGAAACAAGCTCCGAAAAACAAGCGACGCGCGCAGAGAAGTGAGACTTCTTGGATTGAAAGCGATTCAGTGGAAGACTATGGCGTCAAGGAGTCTCACCCAGCAATAGACAAGCTCCTTTGCTCGCAGATGGGCGTTCAGGACAAGCTGTTGATGTGTGACGCGAAGGCCACGTGGACATTGACGCCACGTGGACATTGACATCGGCGCATCACATCAGGCGACGGCTGACTCAGACGCTTCTCTTTCCTTCACACCACCTGGACGGGTTTCGCGCGCCATCACGCTGGATACTCGACTCGCAGGCATGGACAATCGAGCTCCATTCCTGTGTCCATACTTGGGCAGAGCATCATTAGACGTCAAGCACCTTTTTGTCTGTGCGCTCGGCTATCAGCCTCTTTTGGGCAAGGCCATGGCGGTGACTCCCATTGTCTCCCGATTCGCCTTTCGCTCGTCGTGCGATAAAAGGCGGGTATGTCTCTCAGGGTGGCGTTCCCTTTCCCCGCCATGTCCCTCACGACCCCCACCCCAGCGACGACTTCGCATCCTCTTTTACGCTCCTCACGCCAACGCCCGCTTCTGCCGGCCAGACAGCCGGGACCCGTGCCATCCAACGACTCTCCTTCGACAAACGACGTCCCTGCCGCCATTAACCTTCCCGTCCGCGAACGCACCACCTCTATCGAAACTATCCGCCTCAGTGCACCCGTGCGGCCCAAGCTATCCCTCACCTCTCTTCTCAAGCCAAAGCCCTCCCTCTCTGCGGCAGTCGAGCCCGTTGCTGAGACCAAGATACCGAAACGCATTGGCACTTCGCGAAAGCGCACCCGGTCCACGAGCGAGCCGGAGCCAGATGAATCGTCCAAAGGAACTGCCAGTGGCACACGAGCACGTATCCGCCAGCGTACCGACAGTTTCTCCATCCGCGCTCGCAAAGATTCGGAAAGGCTTGCTTTGAAGATTGTCACAAACGAGCCCAACGATTTCGGGGATACTATCACACCTCATACCTTCAAGTCCAACGGTGGCGCTAACACTTTGAACAACGGCAATTTTGGCCAAGTTTCCAAGTCACGACGCGCCACTGTTAGCGATGATAAAGAACTACTCTCTTTCCCTTCTGTTCCCCGCCCCACTTCGCCAGCAATCTCCCTTGACCCTGGTGCGCGTCGGCACCTACGTGTGGTTCCTGGGGCCCGCATGAACAAATACGGCTGCTACGAGCCCGCCATTGATGACTTTGCGCTCGCTATCACCACGCCGTCGGGCAGTCCCGAATTCGAAGTATGGGACCAGGAAGAAGAGTGAGCGTCAATTTCCTCGATGGTTTCTGACACTAAGATGGCGCAGATATTTTTTCGTGGGGCCTCTCTCGCTCCATCTAACCCTAAAAGACCCGGCCAAATGGGCCGGCCTGCCGCTCTCTCACCCGAACGTGTCCGTTTCAGAGCTGGTGTGCATGAGTAAGCCTGTTCTAAGCGCCACCCATCCATACAATCATGTCAGCGTTCATGCCGCTCACCCGCCTGGGTTCAGCACGCGCTACGACGGCATCAAAGCCGATCAGCCACACTCCAATCCGAAGCATGGTGTGTCGATTGACCCTGTCTGGCTGCGCACCTACCCCGAGCCAGACGGCACCGGCGCGCGCGGCTGGGCGATGCACTTCCAAGTGCCAATTGCTACTCGGCTGTTTGAGAAGTGCGACACGCGTGCATTTACGCTGGATGCAAGTATTCTGGTGGGGGGCAAGCCGATAGTGGTCGGTGGGGCGGCAATGTGTGTGTCGCATTTGAGGAGGGAGAGGGAGATGACCCCGGGCTCGCGAGCTGTGACGACCGCGTAAATGGCGTGCTCGACGCCTTTTTTCATATAGTCTAATCATCGCTCTATCTACGGGCTGAAGTACTATATAGTACCAGCGCTGATTCAATCATCATCATGATGTTGGTCTAGAAAATTAGTTTTGCAGTCACAGTCGTCTTGAAAGATGAAAAATAAGTATTTGGAGGACGGACAAGTCACCTGGCGTCCCACCCGAGGGCATGAGCCCAGTACTTACGGAGAGAATGAGAGACGACAACTGCAAAATTCTACGAGGAATTGGTGGATGATGATGAATGGCCGAAATCATGTCATTGTGCCTGAAAAGGATCGCGTTGTGGCTTATTTTGTAATAGATATGTGCATGAAAATCTGAAAGGAGGGCCTTATTGGACATATGACACTGTGTTTACAGCGTCGCAAAGGCCTATTTCGACTACGATACAGGTAAGGAGCAACAGATATCTAATATACAGTATGTTAACATTGTTCAGAGCAGGTTCACAGAGCGACGACTGGGATAGCAAAAGTCCGACAGCGATAAAGCGAGGAGAGAACAAGAAGAAGAGCGAAGGGGAAGAGGTTTGTCCACTGGCAGGCAAAGGTCGAATGCAACCAGGACCATTATTAGAGGAGCCTCCGGACAATGAAACGCTCGAATTGATTCTGAGATGGCGTGCCTCGAAGAGCGGGGACGCGTAGCCAGAAATTCTCGAAGGGGCGAGTCCACGGTCCTGGGGGTCCCGCGTGAGCAGCGGCATCGTTCAAGTCCACGTCGGGGCTGTACCACGCAAAATCACTTTGGAGGAACACCGCATGTCCGGCAGAAACCGACCGACGGAGTGCGTTGAGCACGAGATCAGCACTGAGGTTGAAGCCCGGTTCGGGTAGTGGTGCGTACAGGCCTAGTTCCATCGCAACCTCCTGGGGTGTGCGGCCGCGGGGGTAAAGGAACGTAGCAAGACCTTGCCCATCTAATTGAAGGCGCGTCAATTGCCAGATTTGGAACAAGGAATGCATGACTAACAGAATTTGACGGTCCACAGAAGCCTTGTGGGATTTGACGCGTCATATTCCAGGGTGCCACTGGCTACCATAAGCCCCGAAGATGAATGCACGACGAGGTCGATTGGATGAGCGGTTTGGTGGAACGGGAAAGTCCAGGGTAGAATAATCTCGCCCTCTTGAGCAAACAGATTGGAGAGGAGATCTGATTGGCGCTGGTAGAGCCAATCATGCAACGCTTTCCGGAGTGGCTTCTTGAGGGAGGGAGGTTGGGCCAGGTCGAGATTGTCGGGGAGGACTTGGAAGGAGAGGGAAGGAGACGTTGGCACGGCGCTGTTTGTTGCTTGCATGCGCCGACATCGTTATCCCCCGCCATTCCAGTTCTTAAATACGACCTTGAAAGTTGCGCTATGACCCTGCCCACATCGCCATCAACGTCCTCCGGCCTGCCTGACTCGTGTGTAAGACTCTCACCTTTCAGAATGTTCGAAAAATGGAAGGGATGATTGATAGATTGCGCTTTGAAGGGATAAACCAAGGTCTTGACGAGAACGAGAGCAGTTGGCCCGTAGTTGCGCTGTTTTGGGGCAGAAAGAGCGCAGAATCGGAGGGAAATCGACACATGCTGTGTGGACGGCTTCTCGGAGGTCCATGGAGCAGCATGAATACGGCACGGCGCTGCCATAACTTGTAACTTGATGTATCGACAACGAGTCAACTACGAGTCCATTGTAGTTTCGTATCATGATGAGCCTCTGCTTGGCGATATAGGGACACCAGCTGGCCAGAGAGACGGAGTACAGGAGGCCTTGAGCATTTTGCGACTGTCTAAGGGAGGCAAGACAGGGCGTAGTACGTACACGCGGGCACTGGTGTCGGCTGCCACTGCAACCCTTGTACCCAAAGCAGCAATGGCCGCACTGACGGCTATCGTGTTGAAAGAATAGGTAGTAAATTCAATGTTTATTACTGAGAAACAGCCAAGTATTTATACTATTCTAAGTGTTCTAGTAGATTCTACAAAAAATGAGTCAATGGAAACTTGGAGAAAGTGCCCGACGCTGCGCGTCGGTGATGGCGCCGGAGCATGGGCCGGCGCTGACATCATCCTCTCCGCGATGACTCGTGTTCGCCGCCATGATATCTTCAACACTCCCCCTCGAACCGAGTCGAGCCGAGTGCTCCGGATTGCTCGATGGCAAGGAGTGATCCGGGCTTCGTGTATTTTCGGGTTCGCGGGCCAATCACGATGTTGTCCGTTGTGATGTCCAGTTAATCGCCTTGGGTGCGATGTGAGGTGAGTCGCGCGTTGGACTGGGTTGGCGCGAGGACATGGGGGTGAGTGTGCTGGGTGCGGCGGAGACGGGCGGTCTTGGCGCGATAAGCGGTGGGGTAAGCGGGGTCGGCGATCCGGGCTTGATCTCCGGATGCCATCATGCAGTCCATCGGTCCGTTGCTCCCCCTTGCTCTGCAGTCTGGGTGCAGTCCAATAGCCGTCGTCGTCGTCCGCGTTGGGTGGGTAGACCGGGGTAACATTCCCGAATGCGAAGACATTGCCCACATTGCAGCAATGGGCTAGTCGCTGTCCAGTTGTCCGGTTTGTGATCTTGACGTCGCCTGCTGACGCGAAGTTGATATTATAACCGGCGCGGTGGAGTCGTCCCATCGAGATGATGTTGTGGGGTGAGTCGGGCACATACAGTACACATAGTAGTGTCACTGTCTTGGTTTGTGTACCCATCCTGAACTGTAGCTTTACAGTTCCTTCTCCCGGTGCCCTGAGTTCTCCAATACCAAAGATTCGATGATTGTCGAGTGCCGTGTACGTGTGAAATAGGGATTTGTCGTTCGTGATGTGTGTGCTGGCACCGCTGTCCAGTAGCCACGAGTTCCGCGTGAGCCGTTCCCGGCCGAAAGCCATGAACACAAGGTCTTCTTCGTCTTCTCGGGCCATATGTGCCGCCTGCCGGCCATTCTGCCCGCCATTCTGGGCCTGGTATCGCATAGCACGAGCATAGTTCTCGTCCTTCTCTTGATCAGTGTACGTGATTCCTTTCTCGGCGTCGGGGCACCACTGCTTCCGGTGTCCGGGCCGCCCGCAATTCCAGCAACTCTGGTTGCCTCGGCTCCCGTTCCCATTCCCAGTGCCCGACCCATTTCCATTTCCATTCCCTTGTCTGTTGCCCTGCCCCTCTCCGCGTCGCGCTGGCATCGCCCGTCGTCATGTCTGTGTCGGCGTCCGGCTTGGCGTGGGGGTCGTCCGGCCTGTTGCAATACCCTCCCGATAACATCCTCGGAGTCCGTGATCTTCGTCAAATCAATCCCATTTACCCAATGGTCCCACGAAGTCGGTAGCGAGGTCAAAACAATGATGGCAAACTCGGCCTCGTCGATAGAGCTGCCGAATGCCGCAAGCTGTGTCCGGTAAGTCGATAAATTTCTGATATGTTCTTCCACATCCTCCCCCTCGGCGCACGAGGTGTGATACAGCACGCGTCGAAGCCGAATTATGCTGATGGCCCCCTTTGGTTGATAGAGGGCAAAAATATTTCGCCGCTTCTGGGGTGGGCGGCTCGGAGGCGGCTGGTGGGCGGCTCCACGAAAGTTCTGTAGACAATATCTTTGTAAGTACTTGACATAATAACAACATTCTTGGGGCGTTCGATAGCCCCCGACGAGCCCTTTCCAACGCGCCACTGAGCGGTTCGAACGGTGGCTTTGTTGTCGAGCATCGCCCTTTGACTTTTTGGGTGGGCGGCTCGGACGCGGTGGGGCGGCTTTTTGCCTGGTTTTCGCCGCCCTCTTTTTGCGGTGGGCGGCCGGTGGCAGTGTTGCCGCGGCTGTGGGCGGCTCTCGCACAAGTGGAAGCGGCTCTCGTGTGACAGAGGGCGGCTCCCAGCGAAAGCAGGAGGGCGGCGATTAACAGTGCCGCTACCCCAGTACGCGGCAGCCATCGACCTCACTCTGCCCTAGGCCTCACTGCCTCGTCATCGCGAGGCTATTCATCGCTTTGGTCGCCAGCCTGACGCATGTTGTGTTGCTCTTACCGTCGTCGTCATCGCCATCAACGTCGCCGCCGGCGTTAACGCTGACAGATGGTGAGTCATCTTCATCACCGCATCTTGTCTTCGCTCCACCACCATGTCCCCCGCCCGAGCGGTCCGAGCCCGGCCACCGTGCTCACCTGCTCCTACCGCGCGACTTGCGGGTCCAGGACGAGCCCGCGAAAACAAACAACGGGCTCGACTTCACACCGCTGTTCCCGAACGCAACGCCGACTTCTTCTGGACATTCCGGCGGGCCGCCTTCCAGAGTCGCTCGACACCCGCGACCAGCGGCGGTTGTTCCCGAACACGGGCCAACTCCCTCGGTTAGCATCTGCGGCGCCGCTCCCGCACCGTCCTCCCGCTGCACGTGCAACCGCTCAGCCGCTGGTCATGAGGGAGCCCACCGTCTTTCGAGGGCCAGTGGCTGGCGCGGCGATGTACACCAGCATCCTTTCTATAAGTATATGCCCATCGCTTGGCAGAATGGTGAGCGGCAGTATAGCGTGGGGTGGGCGGCTCAACGTGGGATGGGCGGCTGGGTGGGCGGCTTGCCATCGGTGAGCGGCTCGGTGAGCAGCTCGGCAAGCATACTTTCTAGGTGAGCGGCGGTCCGCACTCAACTGACTCATGTATAAACAGACACAACATAGTTTTCATTGGCCCCCTCATGTGCGCTGGCAAACAGTTTCGTGCAGACCGCGCATTCACACTGCTATCGACTACGCGGCGGGCGCTAATCCGCAGCTTGCCAGCAGCACTATTGCCACTGTCTGCTTCACAAGAACGCCACGCTCCTTTGGCAACAGCACTATGCTTAGCATGCTGACCAAGTATCGGTGGCCGCGGATGGTGGGCATACCAATGGGCAACTCGCTGAGCACACCTCCTAGCGCAAGCGGCGATATGCAGAGGGCTGCAGATTACTGCCAAAGTCAAAGTAGCAGCTTGTTTACCTTACCACCTGACACTC